CATGCATACCGATACTTCCTCCACACCACCCAACACCAAACAGCACACACGATCTATAACATGCATGCCTATACTTCCTCTACCCCACCCAACACCAGACAGCGCACACGATCTACCACATGCATACCTATACTTTCTCCACCCCATCCAACACCAGACAGCACACACGATCTATCACATGCAAACATATACTTTCTCCACCCCACCCCACATCAGACAGCACACACGATCTATCACATGCATACCTATACTTTCTCCACCCCACCCCACACCAGACAGCACACACTATCTATCACATGCATACCGATACTTCCTCCACCCCACCCAACACCAGACAGCACACGCTCTATAACATGCATGCCTATACTTCCTCCACCCCAACCAACACTAGACAGCACACACGATCTACCACATGCATACCTATACTTTCTCCACCCCACCCAACACCAGACAGCACACACGATCTATCACATGCATACCTATACCTTCTCCACCCCAGCCCACACCAGACAGCACACATTAATTTTCACATGCATACCTATACTTCCTCCACCCAATCCCACACCAGACAGCATACACGATCTATAACATGCATACCTATACTTCCTCCATCCCATCCCACATCAGACAGCATACACGATCTATCACATGCATACCTATACTTTCTCCACCCAACCAACACCAAACAGCACACACGATCTATCACATGCATACCTATACTTTCTCCACCCAACCAACACCAGACAGCACACACTATCTATCACATGCATATCTATACCTTCTCCACCCCAGCCCACACCAGACAGCACACATTAACTTTCACATGCATACCTATACTTTATCCACCTCATCCAACACCAGACAGCACACACTATCTATCACATGCATATCTATACCTTCTCCACCCCAGCCCACACCAGACAGCACACATTAACTTTCACATGCATACCTATACTTCCTCCACCCCGTCCAACACCAGACAGCATACACGATCTATCACATGCATACCTATACTTTCTCAACCCCAACCAACACCAAACAGCACACACGATGTACCACATGCATACCGATACTTTCTCAACCCCACCCCACACCAGACAGCACACACGATCTATCACATGCATACCGATACTTTTTCCACCCCATCCCACGCCAGACAGCACAAATTAACTATCACATGTATACTTATACTTTCTCCACCCACCCAACACCAGACAGCACACACGATCTATCACATGCATACCTATACTTTCTCCACCCCAGCCCACACAAGACAACACACACAATCTATCACATGCATACGTATACTTTCTCCACCCCATCCCACACCAGACAGCGCACACTATCTATCACATGCATGCCTATACTTCCTCCACCCCATCCCACACCAGACAGCACACACGGTCTACCACATGCATACCGATACTTTCTCCACCCCATCCAACACCAGACAGCACACACGATCTATCACATGCATACCTATACTTTCTCCACCCCAGCCCACACCAGACAGCACACGCGATCTACCACATGCATACCGATACTTTCTCCACCCCATCCCACACCAGACAGCAAACACGATCTACCACATGCATACCTATACTTTCTCCACCCCACCCAACACCAGACAGCATACACGATCTATCACATGCATACCTATGCTTCCTCCACCCCACCCCACACAAGACAGCACACACGATCTATCACATGCATACCGATACTTCCTCCACACCACCCAAAACCAGACAGCACACACGATCTACCACATGCATACTGATACTTTCTCCATCCCATCTAACACCAGACAGCACACACGATCTATCACATGCATACCGATACTTCCTCCACACCACCCAACACCAAACAGCACACACGATCTATAACATGCATGCCTATACTTCCTCTACCCCACCCAACACCAGACAGCGCACACGATCTACCACATGCATACCTATACTTTCTCCACCCCATCCAACACCAGACAGCACACACGATCTATCACATGCAAACATATACTTTCTCCACCCCACCCCACATCAGACAGCACACACGATCTATCACATGCATACCTATACTTTCTCCACCCCACCCCACACCAGACAGCACACACTATCTATCACATGCATACCGATACTTCCTCCACCCCACCCAACACCAGACAGCACACGCTCTATAACATGCATGCCTATACTTCCTCCACCCCAACCAACACTAGACAGCACACACGATCTACCACATGCATACCTATACTTTCTCCACCCCACCCAACACCAGACAGCACACACGATCTATCACATGCATACCTATACCTTCTCCACCCCAGCCCACACCAGACAGCACACATTAATTTTCACATGCATACCTATACTTCCTCCACCCAATCCCACACCAGACAGCATACACGATCTATAACATGCATACCTATACTTCCTCCATCCCATCCCACATCAGACAGCATACACGATCTATCACATGCATACCTATACTTTCTCCACCCAACCAACACCAAACAGCACACACGATCTATAACATGCATACCTATATTTTCTCCACCCCACCCAACACCAGACAGCACACACGATCTACCACATGCATACTTATACTCCCTCCACCCCGCCCAACACGAGACAGCTCACACGATCTATCACATGCATACCAGTACATTCTCCACCCCATCCCACACCAGACAGCACACATTAACTATCACATGCATACTTTTACTTTCTCCACCCCACCCAACACAAGACAGCACACAAGATCTACCACATACATACCTATACTTTCACCACCCTATCCCACACCAGACAGCACACACGATCTATAACATGCATACCTATACTTCCTCTACCCCACCCAACACCAGACAGCACACACGATCTACCACATGCATACCTATACTTTCTCCACCCCATCCCACACCAGACAGCACACACGATCTATCACATGCAAACATATACTTTCTGCAACCCACCCCACATCAGACAGCACACACGATCTATCACATGTATACCTATACTTTCTCCACCCCACCCCACACCAGACAGCACACACGATCTATCACATGGATACATATGCTTTCTCCACCCCAGCCCACACCAGACAGCACACACTATCTATCACATGCATACCGATACTTCCTCCACCCCACCCAACACCAGACAGCACACGCTCTATAACATGCATGCCTATACTTCCTCCACCCCACCCAACACTAGACAGCACACACGATCTACCACATGCATACCTATACTTTCTCCACCCCACCCAACACCAGACAGCACACACGATCTATCACATGCATTCCTATACCTTCTCCACCCCAGCCCACACCAGACAGCACACATTAACTTTCACATGCATACCTATACTTCCTCCACCCCATCCCACACCAGACAGCATACACGATCTATAACATGCATACCTATACTTCCTCCATCCCATCCCACATCAGACAGCATACACGATCTATCACATGCATACCTATACTTTCTCCACCCAACCAACACCAAACAGCACACACGATCTATAACATGCATACCTATATTTTCTCCACCCCACCCAACACCAGACAGCACACACGATCTATCACATGCATACCGATACTTTCTTCACCCCATCCCACGACAGACAGCACAAATTAACTATCACATGCATACTTATACTTTCTCCACCCATCCAACACCAGACAGCACACACGATCTACCACATGCATACTTATACTCCCTCCACCCCGCCCAACACGAGACAGCACACACGATCTATCACATGCATACCAGTACATTCTCCACCCCGTCCCACACCAGACAGCACACATTAACTATCACATGCATACTTTTACTTTCTCCACCCCACCCAACACAAGACAGCACACAAGATCTACCACATACATACCTATACTTTCACCGCCCTATCCCACACCAGACAGCACACACGATCTATCACATGCAAACATATACTTTCACCACCCCACCCCACATCAGACAGCACACACGATCTATCACATGCATACCTATACTTTCTCCACCCTACCCAACACCAAACAGCACACACGATCTACCACATGCATACCTATACTTTCTTCACCCCACCCAACACCAGACAGCACACACGATCTATCACATGCATACCTATACTTTCTCCACCCCACCCAACAACAAACAGAACACACGATCTATCACATGCATACCTATACTTTCTCCACCCTACCCAACACCAAACAGAACACACTATCCTTCACATGCATACCTATACTTTCTGCACCCCATCCCACACCAGACAGCACACACGATCTATCACATGCATACCTATACCTTCTCCACCCCACCCCACACCAGACAGCACACACGATCTATCACATGCATACATATACCTTCTCCACCCCATCCCACACCAGACAGCACACACGATCTATCACATGCATACCGATACTTTCTCCACCCCACCCCACCCCACCCCACCCCACACCAGACAGCACACACGATCTATCACATGCATACCGATACTTTCTCCACCCCACCCCACCCCACCCCACCCCACCCCACACCAGACAGCACACGCGATCTATCACATCCATGAACTAAGTTGCCCATCCCATACCGGATTTATGACATTCATACCCTTTGTTGCCCCAACTCCATCGGACCATCGCACACACGATCTCATCCATATATGCCCTTACTTTTTAAGACAAGTTTGCGTGTCCCAACTGCTTCGTGACATATGAGTTGTTAAACCCAGTTCACTAATCATAAATGTGACAGAAACCTACGACCGCATACGAGACCACGTATGCATACATCAAGTAACCCGACGTTAACCACACATGTACTGTTCTAACTAAAGGTACAATATATACACCTATATGTACTACCAATACTATACCATATATACTACCATATATGTATACTATATTACTACTATATGTAAATCGTTTCACCAAGACATATAAGATCACAATCAAAAGTAATATTATCTGTCTCGGGGAGAGACTAAATACTCACCGTCTAAACGTGGTCGGTATGTGTGCAGTCTATGGACCAGTGCTTGTTATTCAAGCTGTTGTGTGATAGCTGTACACAATAACAGCTGCAGTTAAAGTGGGTCATGTGTTTAGGAATTAGGGCCACATAAAAACTGACAGTAGGACGGCGTTGTAGCCACGATGCACTAATATTGTGGCTAATATACTGATATACTGGCTATACATCAGACAAACAATTAGGTATATGTGTCACATTGGGAAATCGGATAGAGTATTGGCACATACTTTCACGCTCACATCCTGGTGTCCATTATTCAAAAGGTAGTTCAACTGTGCATACGTTGATGCTTGTATAATTACTTGAAATATCTATGAAGTGTTTACTTATCTTATTTTATAAGATAATGATTCCGAATGAGGTGAATATATTTGTGGAACGACAAAATCATGCATTTATATACTGTGCATTATCAGTATTATTTCAAGCGTATGAATTCAGAATTATTGAAATATATAAGTGAAGGAAAATAATATGTTTATTCAGTATAGGAGGTATTTACGCGAGAGTAATACAACATGTTTCAACTAAAGTTTATGAATGAAACTCATATATTCTATTTTACATTGCAGTTATGTCTAAGAATGAATGGTCACTGGTCCTTTGTATATATATTTGCATTGTATGTTCTCCCTGATGTGGTTGGCGTTTCAAGCAGTGCTAATTACTATTTATTCAAGATGTTTGTTCGTTGTTTAACAATATTCCAAATAAATGACAGCGGTCTGAAAATAATCGAGAAAATCCAGTCACTGACATCATGAGCATCGACCCATGCAACTGGGATACGAGGACATGCATCAACCAAGTCAATGAACCTGACCACCCCACCCCACCAGTCAACTCTTACGACGATCATAGTCGCCTTTTGCGACAAGCATTACCCACCTTGCTTGGGCATGACCTTTACCTGTATATATTAGTGCGTTCGTGCGTGTATGCGTGCGTGCGTGTATGTGTGTCAGTTATTTTAATAACTTGATCACAGCGAAAGTGACGACGCGTTTGGAAACAAACAAACAAACAAAAGACGGATCGTGATCAACAGATCAGCTTGTAAGATCTCCATTAACACGAATCTGATAGATTTGTAATCAATTTAAAGATTGGTTAACCCAGCGACTTGTATCTAAAGAACGTCCAACTGACCCAACATGCAATCATGCGACATGTCATTCGGGACGAGAAGGTTTCACCCATCCCACTTGAAAGAACATAAATGGCGACACTTTGGATCGTTCCCTTGAATTGCAGTCAAGGAAAACTGACGAAACAAAAACAGATATAAATGTAAGACTTTCCGGGACGTATCACAACAGTCAATGAAAATACATATTTCGTTTACTTTTGTGTTTCTTTTCTTTTCGTTTTTTTCTATATGTTTAAAGTCATATGCTAATTTCCTATTGCTATTTCAATGATCTTCAGTCACGTCTCGTGTACCGTTACACGCATGCAGCGCAGTTATTGTTCATGCTGATAACGATCGACCCTGCAGTACAAGGCCAGTGTTATATAACCAATCCTTTTCGATTCGTGCTGTATGCAATCTGAAAACGGATATTCGTGGAATTTGTCAACCTAGAACCTCTGAACGAGTGAGTGAGTGAGTTGGGTTTAACGCCGCTTTTGACAGTATTCCAGTTATATCACGGCGTACCTCTGAACGAAAACACACGTGGTATGTGCATGTACATGAAGATAAGCTAGGTGTCCAAATGAGTTTAAAGGTTCATGTGTGCAAACAGAGAAAAACTATGCAGTTGGTGTGGTTTAACGATGACAAGAGGTTGGTCTTGTATTTAATCAGTGGTCAGATAGTATCAGTAATGAGTGAGTGATACATTTGCCCAGACACGCACATTTCATTTTAATATTCGGCAATACGTTTTTAGTGTTACCCGCCTTTTTGTCCGTTTTATTTGAATTGTTTTAGGCCATGCTTTTAGACTGTCCTGATGGTCTGCGTCAAAAGTATGCACAAAAGCAATAACATTGTTAACATGTATCTGTTCCAACACACTTGAAGAAAGGAAGCACTTTCGCGTCATCACCCGGAAGTGACCTTTGTGCCACAGTGAAGGGAGTCATCTGTTCAGGTAGGTGTGTTGTTACTGCTCTTTATATCGCACTCCGCACACAGGTTCAATAATCAAGGTCAATACTTGCAGGTATATGTCACGATACTATCGGAACGCCAAAAGTGGTACAAATACCCCCTCATATACACTGTAGAACCTGGATATCATTATTATTATGTGACAACATCACATTTCTACTTTCGTTTTACAAAGGTCGGACGGGTTGCCTTGTGGTTAAGGCGTAAGCTCGTCGCGCCAGAGAACCGACATGGGCACAATGTGTGAAGCCCATTTTTGGTGTCCCTCGCCGTAATATTGCTGGAATATTGCTTAAAGCGCCGAAAAACCATACTCACTCACTCACTCGTTTTACAACGAGGACGGACTTACCAGTCCACCGACGGAACTTGCAACGAGTTGCACCCGACTCGCCTAAAATCTGACTCGCCTAAAAAAATCTGACTCGCCTAAAAAAATCTGACCCGACTCGCCTAAAAAATATATATAATATTTTGGTATGCGTTTGGCAAATATAACTTAGGTTAGGCCTAATGATCACAATTACTAGTATATTCATACACAAGTATGGAAATAATATAAAAAAACAACGTATCATCCATAGAATTTGTCTTCTGTCATATTTACATCTGCACTTCATATTACATCTGCACTTCATGTTGAGTCAGTGAGTGAGAGCCCAGTCGGTTACGCTATTGGAACCGAGACTACAACACTAACATTTAGGTACATTATGTGTATAAAATGCATTACTAAGTATTTCTGATAGTTACATACTTATTCTAAAATACAAAAACCGACCGTAGTTCGCTCAAAAAAATTTAGGCGAGTCGGGTCAAAATCTTTTTAGGCGAGTCGGATTTTAGGCGAGTTGGGTGTATCCCCTTGCAACTCCACCGTGACCCACTTCCACGGTGGTAGAAAACGGTCTGTCATGTTGCGTTGCATAGATGTGTGTCGTGTGGTTATATGCACCAGCTGACACTGCGCCGATATTGACAACATGTAGGTGGGGATCATCTATTAACATTTCAGATCGCTTCTTTGATTGTCATCGTGTATGCACGTTTGAAAATACTGCCGCTTTAACGGGGTTTACACTATATATGCTATAGGTGAATGTATATGTATGGCGAGGGATCTCTCATTGGGGATAACTATTGATTTGTCTGGTATAACATCAGGAATTTGACACACAAAATTTGATATTTGAGGTATGGTACATTCTACCATAAACTGGAAATAATCGATTCTGATTTTACGACCGCATCACCGCAATGTCTAAATTTTATAGAAACGTATTTGATTATTTTGTTTGTGGTTTAACGCCGCACTCCAGTGAATGACATCATGAGCATCGATCCACGCTACTGGAATACGATTACATGCATCAACCAAGTCAGCGAGCCTGACCACCCGATCCCGTTAGTCGCCTCTTACGACAAGTATAGTCGCTTTTTACGGCAATCATGGGTTGCTGAAGACTTTTTCCACCCCGGATCTTCAGGGGTCGAAAAGTACTTGCAATAACGACATGTACAACTATAGATTAAATATTACAGTGCTGTGGTTATTATTATATTGTTATGGCAAACGATGTGTAGAAAACAGGATTGAAATCGACTGGGAGAGTATATTTCCAGTTTGGGTTATAACGGTCTAATACATGGAGCTTTTCTACATCCGACTGCTTTGTTCACTGTAAGTGATGTGCAGTGTAGAGCTTAACCTTCAAAGGCTTGCTTTTTATGCTTTGGGCGCCCATTTCATGTTGGCGCAAATGCAATATGGATCCGAGTGGCAACTCATTAAAGTTTTCTGTCTTCAGAATGGACAGTTTCCCGAAGTGTTCTGTCTGTCAGCAGCAGTTTACCCTGAAAGGTCCAGTCCCCTACTTACTGCCCTGTCTACACGCTGTGTGTGAGACGTGTGTGACATCTGTAGCTGGCGGTGTGATATCATGCTCTACATGTCAGAGGGAGGTCAACCTCACAGACACAAGTCTCCAGAAGGATGCAGTCAGACAGAAGGAAATATTCCACCTGACAGTCAAACATCTCCCCACAGAGCTCCTCTGTACACATGAAGATGACGGCAACCAGGCTGTGTGTTGGTGTCGGTTTAAACTTAGAATTCAATACAGATTGCAAAGCACTTGCACAAAATGTTATTACAGTGTTGATAAAGTTTAAATAAAAGAGACAAGACCCTTTCTATGTGCATAAGAAATCATAGCTAATAGCAGTGTCGGTTGTCCAATTCCGACTATACCATGAGCGTCAAACTGAAGCTTCATTAATGCGTCAAGTTTGAAAATGTCCTCCATATGTCCTACATAAATCGTACTGACTGAGGTCTTTGATCAAACCAATTTTTGAGGAACAATCATGTGGCGTCGTTGCAATCTTCATGGAGAAAGCATGCTCGGTTGTACATCGAAGGCTGTGAAATAGAGACACCCTCGAGACATTTTGCTCGAGATAAAGGGAAAGTTGACTCATGGAAAGTTGAAGTCGTCATGAACTTTTTGACGAATGATTTCCATGGCGATGTGGTAGACTAGCTGTTATGAATACCATTATCCGAAGTATATTTCAACGGACATTTAATACAAATCAAACTATGGTAATGTTTGACGCATTTGAAAAAAAAGGTAATCTATGAAGAATTTGAAAAAAAAGAAAACGGACATTTCAGATTAGCGCAATCCGTAACTATTCGTTCACGGCTTGCTGTCTTCTCTCACGTCCGCGCTTGCTCGTGGCATTTACCGCTAAAATTTATGGATTACATTATGTCAGTTGAGCGAACTTTATCAGAATACGTTACGGCAAAGACGTGCATGTGTTGCAGCGGTTGAAAATGGCACTTGTCCAAAGGTCCTTGCCAAACTGACCAATAGTTAAGGTAAAATACGGACAAGTTGAAATTTGCAATTTTTAAGGGTTTATCATTATAAGGACTAGAAGAAAAAACATTTAGTTTCTATAGTTTGCAGATGTACATGTATGTACATCATTGGTAATGATAACATTGGAGAATCGATTTCCATATATCAATTAATAACTCTAAAAAGTATGCTTACAAATGCATACATGAAGAATCTGTGAACATTTTTGAGCATTTTCTTAATATTCCAGAGGTACACCCACACTTTCATAAGCCACTTTCTTATGGCTGTAATGGGAAGAACTTAGAAGATTATTTCTTATTCCAAGGTCCTTACTGTTATACTTACTGTCCTTAATGTCCTTTATTTAATCTTTTGAAAAGTATCATCAGTCACAAATCCTGTAACTGTTTAAATGAGATATATAAGACAAATGTACAAATCTCTAAATATATGCATATTTATTGACAGTATTTACATGTGAATAATATATCAACTATGTACAATAAAGTTTTTTTAAAAAGTGCCGCATCTTTGCTGGAATACTGCTGAAAGCGGCATTAATCATACTCACTCTATTTACACGAAGTACATAATTGTGAAAAAAGATCAATAATCCATATACAATGAATCGCCACGAATTAACTGGAATATCGCAAATGTATCATCAATATAATTTAATCTATTTACAATGAATCGCTGTGATGTTGCTGTTATATTGCAAATACAGCATTGAGTCATACTTTCTCACAGATATATATATATTGAGTACTTACAGTAAGTAGATATATACTATATACATAATCTAGTTACATAGATTCGCTGCGATGTTGCTGGAATATTGCAGATGCCGTGGGAAGTTCTACTCACAAACAGATCCTTACATACACACAATAATTACATGTACAATAAAAAGAGAACATAATATGAACATATGTACATTAAACTGACATATTTTTGCGGGAATATTGCTAAAAGAGGCATAAAACAAACTCACTTCATATACAATAAGTACATAATCATATACAATAGACAATGATCTTTTTACAATGAATCGCCATGATGTTGCTGTTATATTGCAAATACGGTGTTACGCCATACTCTCTCACAATATCATCCTTTAATATATATACACGCATATGAAAAATTTACAATGAGTACATTATATACAATATATGTATTATCTATTTACAAAGATTCGCTGCGATGTTGCTGGAATATTGCAGATGCAGTGGGAAGTCCTACTCACGAACAGATGCTTACATACACACAATAATTACATGTACAATAAAAAGAGAACATAATATGAACATATGTACGTCATACTCTCTCCACAATATCATCCTTTAATATATATACACACATTTGAAAAATTTACAATGAGTACATATATACAATATCTCGCTGTGATGTCGCTTGGATATTGCAAGTGTGGCGTAAGTCCTACTCGCTCACTAGTTATTTACAATGAAGCACACAGATGGGGAGTGAGTGAGTGAGTGAGTGAGTTGGGTTTAACGCCGCTTTTAACAGTATTCCAGTTATATCGCGGCGTGTCAGCTTAATGTTGGAGGAAAGCCCGAAGTGATGTAGGTCTCAGACGTTTACCACTTCGGTGAAACCCACGAGCACGGGTATGGTGCTGACAAACCTAGAAACATGACCGGGGCGACCGGGATTCGAACCCACAATCATAGGTTTCTGACGTCACAGATGGGGAAACTGCTTAAAGGATTGATATGATGGAACATGAGTGTATGTTCTATCATATGCCAGTACACACAGCCTTTCACTCTTCAAAGTGATCAGCTGTGTGATACTGATGTAAACAGCGTGCACAGAGGCCAACGTGGCAGTCAGGACACCAGGTCCTGACCTTTCCTGCGGAGCCATCGATGGTCCTCTGTCTCTTTCTGCAGAGAACACACTGTTTCCGCTTCCCTTCAGGCAGCACTTCCATGAAGTGACGTCCGGTCAGTCGTCGGGAAGGAGGCTGGATCCTGGGCCTGCCAGTCCTCCTCTTCACCTGAGTGTTCTTGACGAGTGAGTGGAGAAGAGACATGTGGAAGTCCAGACGGGTGGTCGTTCTGCCATGAGTGTTCAAGAATGTCTGATATGCTTTAACTGAAATGAGTTTGAAACATTAAAATCAAACATTATGAAATAGCTGTTCAGAAGATAAGGTTCATGTTGATTACTCAGTACAATGAATATACAATGGAAGTGGTACCAGATGCGAAATTATTCCGTTATTGTATTCAGTTAATGTAATTCATTACATATGGTTGATATTATCATGATTATGACCGTATAGTTGGTAGTGATGAAATAGTTATTCCTAAACTCCATGTTACAAAATTATTTTATTCTAATTTTCATATAAATAAAATAATTCTTACCTGATGCTGTGAGACGAAAGTTGATTACAACTTTCTTCCACAGCTTCACGGAGCGGACTTGCGGGGATCATAGACACCAATGAGTTGATCCCCAATGTCAACTCCCCCCATTAGAGTGTTGTAAAGTCTAACGACTGAGGGGAGAGTGACAGACCGGCCCCTTGAGTTAAGCCCATCTTCGATTCTGTAAATAAAATATTTCATATTAATTTTTCAAAAACATGTACATAGAATCTCTATATTTTTTTTATCTTTATGAGAAATTTTAAGGTAATTGACACTCATCAAAGCGTACATGTATGAAAGAAAATGGACACTTGGAGTAGGAATCATACTGACTGAACAGCGTTAGAAATTGGCACTAGTCCTATAAGGACTATTAGACATGTGCCTTCTTTAAGGGTTTTGCTATATGTAATTATAATGACTAGAGGACTGAAACTGTTAGTTCCTAACGCTGCTGAACATTAAATATATTTAATATTTTGAATTTACCTTTGACTACCCATAGTAGATAGGGTTGTGAAGACCTTCCTGTCTGAAAAGAGCACTGCCAGCAGTGGACCCTGTCTTCTCACAACTGTCGAGCCCCCATGTGGTCGTTTCCTAACGAAAGAGCTCGGCATTCCATTCCTCCTGTGCAGAATGTCATTTTATATTTGAGGACTGACTCATTATACTCATTTAAAAATATGGCTTCAGGTCCAAAGTGTGAACTAGTGTGTCCTTCAAGATAATTTTAATTTTTAACAAAGACATTTTTCCATTAATATCACTGCACTTAACCAAAAGCACGTGTAGGCCACATGTAGACATGTTAAAACTTCACTATCATGAGAGCCCTTCTTTCAAATCATTTCTAAGATTCATATTTCATGAAATACTAAACAAGGACGTCGGCTGTTTCTACTATGACCTCATGGTATGGTAGATAATGTTAACATTTGAAACATCACAACTGTCACGAGTGGATCTAGCCTACAATTACGAAAACTGCAAAAACATAACAAATTCATATTCCCACCATTTCTTTGACACTGACATACTCAATTTACTGAAAATGAATTACTGTTACTTACCGCTTATCTCTGCCTGGGAGTCGGACTCGGAGTCGGAATCGAGAGAATCGACTGATATGTCCCCCAAATCATCGTCGTCTCCCAGACCTACTGCTGACATTCAGGGAGGATAGGAAGGAGGAGGAAGACAGAAGAGGCAGGGGAAGAGGAAGTGGCTGGGTAAGAAGAGGGGAATTTAGAGAAGAAAGATTTGGGAGAAGAGAAGGATGGGGAAGAGAAGGATGGGGAAGAGGAGGATGGAGAAGAGGAAGAGGCTGGGGAAGAGGAGGGGGATTTGGGAGAGAAGATAGATTGGGAAGAGGAGAAGGATTTGGGAGAGGAGGACTTGGGAGAGAAGACAGATTTGGGAGAGAAGAAGGATGGGGAAGAGGAAGAGGATGGAGAAGAAGGGCAGCGTTTGCGAGAGGAGAAGGATTTGGGGGAGAAGAAAGATTTGGGAAAGAAGAAGGAGCAGGATGGAGAGGGTCGGGAAGAGGAGGGCAGGAGGAGGGTGTGTGTCTTCTGCATCTACCCGACACTCTACCCAACAGGATCGATCGACGCATTGGGATACGATGACATGCATCAACCAGGTCTTACGACAAGCATAGTCACCTTTTACAGTAAGTAATCTCTCCGCTGTGAAGTTTCAATTGACAACTAACCCGTAGATGGACAAGGCCATTCCACACATGTTTCATGATAAAGCTCAAATTCAAGGACTTTAATTGATATTTTTTGAAGCCAAGGATCAAAGTTTTCATGTACGTAAGGCCTAATGCGTTTTCAAGCAGTGGTATAAGGTCTTTTTAAAAGATTTCCAGTATCAGAATGGCTCTATTTGTACATCCAAATACACTATTACAGTATACTCACCGGTGTTCAATGTTATTTATCAATCGAGCTTTTAACCAGTCATTTGACATTATATCCCCAAACACCATTAGAGCATAAATAAGTGTAAGATATCATTTAACACCAGAATAGCCATATTATATTGACCAAATACAATGCCTTTTCGTGGCTTGTTATCGAAAGTCAATACCTTAATTTAAAGGACAGATGAGGGCATGAACGACAGGGTCTAATACTTGAGTTCCCTAACCCCTACTTTCTCCCAAAACTTAATTGTTGCCTTAAATCTAAGGCTTTGCTGCATTTGATGCTGCCTTCTCTTCTGTGAATGTGCCTGGCCATTCCAAGTGTCCTACTGAAGTAAAAGAATTCCTACTAAATGTTTTAACTTTGTTGCACAAGATATATTGCCTATGTGATGTGGCATAAAGAAGAGGCTAATTTTTAAATATGGTCGAAATTGATTTCCATTTACAATTCATGTTTTAATAAATTAGTATATTTATGATATTATGATATCAGTATGCATATCCTGATGAACATTCTGCAGGTGTAACCTCACTGTGCCCTCATCCAAAATGTTGTTACAGTGGATTATAGGGGATTAAGAGACAGATAACTTAATCGCTTGGTATAGTCTGTGTCATTAAAGTGAACCCTCTTCTGAGGGTGAACTCTGTTCAATTAGTGTCTAACTGTTATTTGATGATAATAGGTGAACAGTTTTCTTATGTACATGATTAAAGGCATAGGGATGATTAAAATTTTATATGAGTGAATGATGTCAATCTTGGAAGTGTATAGAATGGCATTGCAAGTCATACTGCCATAACATCCCAGGTCATCCAAACATCTTTAAATTTATTGACATTATCAAGAATGAACAATCACGTTCAGAGACATTATGGATGCAAATTCATGCCGGAGGAAGACTGCCACCAAAGAGAAAGTAATATCTCCAATTTGACGACAACATCCTGATAGAGAAGGACAACTTGTTGAATGGCAGACTGACACCAACTGAATATGCTGATGCTGTGGCTGAATATGTTGGATTGTGAACTGAATATTTCTGCTGTAAAGTGAATTTGAAATGAATATTTATTTATGCAATACGTAATCTGTCAATATGAAACATGAAATTTTATTAAATATATGCTTCTGTAAAGTGAATGTACTGTTGAAATGTATATGAAATTTTACGAATCTGACAGATAGTAATTTTCTCTATATAGATATGCAACATACTATAGGTAAACCCCCTATTGTTACCCACTTAACCACGGCTGACTACACCTGTACCCTATAAAAATAGGTGAGGGCACAGAGAGGTGTCCCATTCTGCAATGTCCTATCGTATAACACAAAACCAACAGACGTCTCTCCACAAGGGGGCGCTCTCCACCAGGTCACTTTAACGTTCCTCGAGCCCTCCCTTTTCCTCACATCTGAATGCCAGGCAAAACAAAACGGGGGAAGGTCGGAAGGACATTAAAGTTGTTGTATAGGACAGGTATACTAATATCATAAATATTCAATTGAGTAAAATTCTTTCTGATCCTAATACAACATAGTGCAAAACTTATTCCACAGTTGCGGTGCTAGTCTGTCTCTTACCTGGATCGGATGACGTCATGGGTTAGACTTAGGCTTATCGGGGCCCTCAAGCTTCACTGGTCCCATATAAACTGACACATTCTTAATCTTACATGCAAGACTATGCTTCATAGTCGAGTGTCTGTGCGGCATACGATACCTGGCGCCTGGACGATTGACAAAAACGTGATGTCATTTATGGCTGTTCGAAATTTGCCTCTTTTCAAACATGTACGGGTACATGGTATGAAGGGCTGTCATTTGGTCATGTATTATGGAAGAAAACGAAAATATACAAACACAGCTGTTTGTTACAAAATAGTTCAAAGTTACAAAATATGTTTAAGCAATCAATCACTTGGCAGATTCATCCACGTCACGGGAGCTGAATTTGGTCTGACTTTATCGTCCTTAAATACTTGAAAAAATAAACTCATTAAAGCTCAATGATATTATTAGTTTGACACTGTAACTGTTTGTTTGTTTGTTTGTTGTTTAACGCCGCACTCAGCAATATTACAGCTATATGACGGCAGTCTGTAAAACTTCGAGTCTGGACCAGCCTATCCAGTGATTGATACCATCAGGATAGATCCACGCATTGGGATACGATGACATGTATCAACCAAGTCATTGAGTCTGACCATCCGATCCCGTTAGTCGTCTCTTACGACGAGCATAGTCGCTTGTTACAGCAAGCATGGGTTGCTGAAGACCTATTCTACCCCGGATCTTCACGGATCTAACTGTACGTCACTGCTAAGGGATGGTGTATACGAATATTATTTAATATATTTCCTTGGAACGGAAGTATATTAAGCTTTCTGATAACGTTCAAATAACTGTAAGCATGAGTTCAATTATAATATGACATATCAAGGCATTGTTCATTTCTGGTCTAGACCTAGGTTAGTGCATGACACCAGAACTGGAGCATGATCCTCGGGAATACCAACCAGTGCACCCAGGGCAAATGCAATTGTGATTATAGGTGTTGAGCAAGCATTGGCAGTGATGATCGCTGTGCCTGGATCAAGGTTTTATGGTACTTACCAAATATCAGGTCATGAAAGGTTAAATGTGCGTGCAGCACAAAGATGCCTCGATGTCAGCTTGTGTTGTTACGAGCAATATATATATATATACAATTGTATAAGCTATAAGAAAGAGTTTCTGATCACAGATGCAAAAAAAAGAGGTGAAATGCTAATAAGACAAAGCAACTAAAGTATGAAAATATTGCTGATGTTACGTTAAAGCTTAACTCACTCACTAAAGTTCATAAGAAACATAGACTCATACCAATCATCTTTCATGCCACACTCAAGCCGTTGTCATGTGTCAAAGGAAACTGTTTATATGACTAGATTACACCATGAGCGTTCTATCGACGTTGGTATATTAATAACGTCAACTTGTGGACTAACTATTGCCTCTTGCTGCAGTCGGTAATACCACGTGTACGTCTTTTTATGGATATTCACAGATAACGCACCATGCTATATTACTGGTAACGGCATGGTTGAATATCGAAAGATGTATAGCTAACATATTAATCTTTGCAAAAGGACAACATCAAAGTTCTAGATAATCATGGACCATGAATAACCTATCTATCCATTTGACGACTGATGGATAATTCCAAGATAATCTGACTAATTTATCACTTTAAGAAAATGAGGTCCGGTAAACAATGCCAAAACAATGTTAATGTTCTAGATATAAACTTTATAAGCATGTGAGTGGTTGGTTGGTTTGTTGTTTTACGCCGAACTCAGCAATATTCCAGCTTTTTTCTTCGAGTCTGGACCAGACAATCCAGTGATTGATATCATGAGCATCGATCCACGCAACTGGGATCGATGACATGCATCAACCAAGTCAGCGAGCCTAACCACCCGATCCCGTTAGTCGCCTCTTACGACAAGCATAGTCGCCTTTTACGGCAAGCATGGGTTGCTGAAGACCTATTCTACCCCGGATCTTCACGGGTCTTATGAACATATGACCAGATCTGCGTGTAAGACCTATATCGCTGACATATTCATCTATTGACAGATAATGAGAGTTTTACCTTCTTGGTAGCATATGAAGGCACCAGTGAAGACGGAGTTACAAGGAAGGTCATTCCATGCCGTTTTTTTTCAGCCTTGTAAGGGTCCATGAAAACACAATCTTCCCTACCGTAGGCATTGTTGGGTTCTCCTGTTTAAATGAACGAATTCATCTGGTAGTATTGTGGGTATTCAGGAGCATATATGTTTGTGAACACTAGAGTCACCATAACCTATTATATACAGAGCAACGTACGTTAGGGACCATGAATATTTTGGGAATAGTCTTAGTCTTCACTACAAACAAATCGCCAAACTATTCATGATCCCTAATTTGTTTGTATAGTATATATATATATTGGAATATTATAAGTCAACCGATCGCGAGTGGTATATGGTGTGATTACCCTGTGTGTGACCCCTGTCAGGCGCGGGATTCAGCAGCCCATGCTTGCCGTAAAAGGCGACTAACGGGATCGGGTGGTCAGGCTCGGTGACTTGGTTGATGCATGTCATCGGTCCCAATTGCGTGGATCGATGCTCATGTTGTCACACACTGGACTGTCTGGTCCAGACTCGATTATTTACAGACCGCCGTCATAAAGCTGGAATATTACTGAGTGCGGCGTTAAACAACAAACCAAATAAAGAAAATCATAAGCTCACACACAGGGTACATCACAACGCATACCACAAGGGATCGGTTGACAACGAATAAATAATTGCACACACCGTAACCAGTCAGAAGCTAGTATTGTACTATTATACGGGTTGCAACTGTCCTAATGCGCTTCTACCGCCATGTAAGCCCACTCTATCTTTCATAAGGTTGAGTGTGAGTGAGTTGGAATTAACACTGATTGAAACATTATTTCATCTCAATTACGAAGTGGCAGCTCGAGCATAATAACAGCAACTACAAACATGTCAACATACCACGAAACCAATTTGTATAATCCATCGGAGCCCGTCAGTCCAGAGAAACGTACCCTCTTCTGCAGCGTCAGTTGCCCCTATTGCAACCCTCTCTCTCGTATTTATAACATTATCTGAAAACACATATATGCCATATATAACTAATGCATTGAACAATTTATACATAACATGTTCAATATGATCCTAAAAGTGTACATTCATAGCATTCAATATTACAATTTTTGGAAATATTTGCTGAAACTAACACATTTGCTGCAGGATGTGGATAGATTTCGAGAGTTCTCTAAGTTGGCCATCTTCCATGGCCACACACACGTACTGCTTTTTGTCAACCACCCTTGTATCACACATACACATTTACTTGTCTGTCGCGACATGTCCTGGTCTAACGCTACCTTCAGTAATATCTCGGCGGCCTGTAAATAATAAAGGCTACATTGGTTGGAAGTATATATATAACCTCATATAACTTTTTTTTTCCTTCATAAAGAAGAGGAAAAAAAGGCAGAAAATAATAGATGAACATTTATCAGAACAACATATTATTTGGCATTAAATGTGCAGAATGGTAATGCTGATATATTGAGAGTTGGTTGAACACCATTTTAAACATTGGCTTGACATATTTAACACACACTCTTGCAAAGTCATCAGCATCTTTGTCACATAGTCTGTAATCTGTTCTGCAAGACAACAGGCATTCGGTGAGCTTTGCTGAGTCCATACCATGCAGGTAGCAGCTAAAGTCAACATCATCAATATTGATAAACATCCAGAGCTGATCCCGAATGTCTCACGTACATTCACACTCAACAACTGCATGTGTCACTGGATCACGGTACACAAGACCACATTTGTGGCACAGTCCTGTATCACACACGTCCTTTGCGGTGGCACACGTCCTTCAACTCACGATCAAGCAACTCACAGGGCCTGTGACACGTTTCACAAAGGACTCGTAGCGCTAGGACAGTCATAACTCCTATCCTTTAACATAGACTTATAATAGTCGTAGCGCTACCATCGTTTTGTGACACGGGCCCCTGACTACCAAATCCAAGCAGTTGAGAGCTAGTGGCCTATTTATATCCTAAATCCCTATCAAGGTGCCTATCTGGAGGAAAATGACAGTTTCACGGGATTATACCTTAAGTTTGCTTTTACGCGCATATCTGTCGGAATCAAACGGATTTATATGAATAATCCAACAGAAGAATCTCTGCATAATCGCCCTGTTTTAAATAAATTTCATAACGTAAATAGTGACACGGATACGTAAATACCCTCCTTCAACATTAATGTCAGGTATTGGATACTTAATTATGCTGCTCAACTTTTTTTGAAAGGGAGAATCAGCCATGTCATTCTATTCATACTATGAAGAGTATAATGAGAATCATTTTTGTGTATCATGGAAAGATAGAAAATATTCCTGTCTAAAACGGAGTGATATATCTGAATTATCCCTCTGTTGTCATGACTTACTCATGTTATCCCACTCATGTATGCAATTGTTGTTACTGATAAAACTCTCTCTTAATCCTCCACCTTCTATGAATATTTTGTACTATGTCCCTCATTCACTCCTGCTTGAGAAGGGTATAAGGATCTATACCGAAACGTCGCTTTTAACAGTATTAAAGAAGTTCTTATCCATAAACTGTGTCTACATTGTCATCCGTCAACTTCTAAGTAATGCCTATGAAACCATTCAATATATCTGAAACTTTGTATCTCGAGTAATGCCACATGTCTTTCATTATTTCTCACAGAAACACATAAAAAGATAGTTTTCACATTTACCGTAAATAAGTCATTTTCAGCCTGGGAGTGGATACTGATGAGATCGGCTCCAATCGACAGACAACTTGCTCTGGCATCATCCAAAAACAGCATGGAATCATTGTACAAATACCAGCCTCCTCTGACGTCGAAACTCGCCCAATTCGCTGAATTAGAACTGACTGGAAAAGAAAAAATTCAAATCAATAATCGTGACAGGTAGAGCTATAAAAGTAACACCACCGTTACTGCCTTGTGCTTGGGACTTGTGGCTTTGATCTTTGTCGGTGCTAATTACCTAGCTCGCATCCATATGCCCGTTGCTATTTCCATCCTTTCATCTATCAGTGCTAATTACCCCCGGCCTCCCGTTTGCCCATTGCCTATTACCTGTCAATGATAATTTAAGTGCTGGTTCCCATACTATTAGCGCTAATTACTGTAAAGTGTTGGCTTCCATTGTCTATTGCTAATCACCTATCAGTGCCAATCATTTGTTGGCTTCCCTTGCTAGTTTCCACCTTTTGTTAACTTATTAATTTGTTGTCCATACATGTACATATATATGCCCTCTGCTTCGTGGCATTCATTTCCTCGCCCGACTAGAACAAGATATTAAGACAGGACAGCTAAATAAACAATATACCACAGGCATCTTCTTAGACTTCTCTAAAGCTTTCGACATGGTATGGCACGATGGGCTAATACAAAAACTTAAAAAAATATGACTCAAAGGTCAGATAATAAACTACATCCAGGACTTCCTAAACAATCGTAAAATAACCGTGGGTATAGACCAAACTCTATCGGACCAATGTCCCCTAGAAAATGGTACTCCACAGGGCAGTATCCTCAGCCCCACCCTCTTCAATATAATGATAAACGATCTATTCGAGGGCCTATCCCCTAAAGTAAACACATCAAAATTCGCGGATGATGGAGCCATCTGGATCCGCACTAAAAGCGTGAAAATGGTCCAAAATTTACTCAAAAAGTCTCTTAATGAAATACAACAATGGGCTGACAAATGGCGCTTCTCCCTTAACTCAGAAAAAACAACAGGAATAGTATTCACACATAAAAACATGAAACCCGCCTCCCCAATCCTCCAGCCAAACAATCAAACAATCAAATTTCAAAAACAAACCAAATTCTTAGGACTTATTTTCGATGAACATCTCACCTGGGATGCTCACATCCAAAACCTAACAACTAAATGCAGTAAAGACCTAAACACCCTAAGATGCCTTACTGGCTCTAACTGGGGAGCCTCCAAAGATACCCTCCTCTCTCTCTACATATCACTAATTAGATCAAAACTAGACTACGGCTGCGCCATATACAACACCCTAAACAACTCTCTATCTAAAAAACTTGACTCAATACAATATCAGGCTCTCAAACTAATTACACGCACCCAACATGGCACCTCCTACACCTCACTTCAGGCCTTAACAGGAGAAATGCCACTAAGTCTACGCAGGGAACAGCTAAGCTTAAATTTCTGGGCCGCGTCCCAATCAAACGCTCTCATCCAAAACTTAATAAACCAAAACATCAGCCCCAAAAACCAAGCTCTAGCTCGTAAACACCCCTTACTTACCCCACTATCCCAAAGAATAACAAAATACCTAAATGAACACCAAATTAAAAATCTTAAACAAAACTGCAAACAATCAAATATCTTCACCCCTAAACTTAAAATACCCAAAATAGACACAACACTAGCTAGCCAAATAAATAAACAAACCGACCCAAACATAGCTAAAACTACCACACTAGCATACATACACGAAAATTGGCCAAATTGGTGTCACATTTACACGGACGGATCCTCAGATCCGACCTCCAAACACACAGGTTTCGGAGTCCATACCACACAACCAACTAAACCACACAATCCTTCCGACTCCCAAACAACCAATCAATATTCACGACAGAACTAATGGGCATGGCCTCTCCCCTCCATAATCAAGAATCAAAAACCACAAAAAAATCCTAATACTTACCGACTCCCTAAGTGGACTACAAGCCCTCAAAAACAAAAATACCAAAAAACCGACCTAAATTAATAAATCAAATACTTAAAAGCTCCAACGACCTAACTAAGGCAGGCAAACAAATAACCTTCTTGTGGATACCCGCCCACGTAGGAATATACGGTAATGAAACGCCGATAAAGCAGCTAAACTATCCCTCAAAATCCCAGAAATAAGCTTAAACTTACCCATCTCTTAGCCCATTTCTGGTGTCCCCAGCCGTGATATTGCTGGAATATTGCTAAAAGCGGCGTAAAACCAAACTCACTCACTCACTCACTCACAGCTGAAAGTGGCATTTGTAATGAGTTTCAAACATTTGTGGTATTGTTTTCCTTTTGATATTCCACATAGAATGATTCGCATGCACTTTAAGATATATTCCGACGGGTAGCCAAGTGGTGCTAACGTATTCGCTGGTCATGACAAAAACCTATTTTGTTCTGTCCCTAAAGTGATTATTAACAAACGTATTGCTGAAACAGACCAACAATTTCAACCTGAAACAATGGTCTATTCGTGAGATACGATTTATTCAGCTGATGGACACAGTAAACACGATCTCACCTTGAGAGATTTGGAAAAATACAATCACAACGCTGAATATACCGTGCGTATACTTGAATCTATACATGCTTATGCTCCTCACGTTGCCTACATCCGCCCTCTCGGCATCTGTCTGTGCGCACTGATGTTTCTCTATCACTTACAAAGATCTTATTCATTCGGTACACTGGTTGTCATGCAACACCGCAAAACAGGTACGTCAGGAGTGTTTGCAATAAATGTCTTTGTAGGCTGAATGACCACCTGTGTTTTGAAAAATGTCTTTGTTTGTGAGTGACATTCTTCATATTACATAAATATATCACACTCAATGACAAAACATGTAACTGTATATTGAGAAGTGAGTGAATATTGTGTTATGCGATGACATTATTCCAGCTTTATTATCAGTTCAGTTTATTTCTCAGAAAAAAACACCAATGATGGTACACGAGAAACATTATAATGTAAAATAATAATATAATAAAAATATCATTGTCAAGATGACAGGAGAATTGTGCAAATTCATATGGGGATCTAAGGTTACAGTGAAATATGATAGAAATAAAGTAACAACAATCTCATACACGTTTTCTAACAACTTCAACATTATCACAGCCTTTAAATATGTGAAACCTACGAGTGGTTAACAACATGAGCAACGATCACTACTACAACGATGACGCACAATCCACCAAATAACACCTGTTGACTCTTAAGTAAACTCATAGGCTTGTAGTGGGGATCATACGCTGCTTCGACAATCCTTTATTGAATGTATGAAGGGGCAGAGGTTCCTTTAACATGTACCATTTTCAGATATATTCAGACAATCGTTTTGATCAATTACACTGATTGGCTTATTGATTGATTGCAAGGTGGTCGCTGGTAACTTAAAGAGTAGCGTGTACTGTCAAGCAGGCCGCATGTTGCATCGAAACATCCATCTTGTTTTCAAGGCATTTTTTAACATATATCACAGAGTCATCGATTTAGTGCCATCGAACCATTGGGTGAGTGAGTAAATTGTTGCTTTGGCAATATTGCAGTCACCTCGCTATGAGGACAAGGTAATTATTATTAGTGATTACGTTGATGCATTGATTGTTCGATCAGTTGATGACGACCCGTGAAGATCCGGGGTAGAATAGGTCTTCAGCAACCTATGCTTGCCGTAAAAGGTGACTATGCTTGTCGTAAGAAGCGACTAACGGGATCGGGTGGTCAGGCTCGCTGACTTGGTTGATGCATATCATCGATCCCAATAGCGTGGATCGATGCTCATATCACTCACTGGATTGTCTGGTTCAGACTCGATTTTTTGCAGACCGCCGTCATATAGGTGGAATATTGCTGAGTGCGGCGTTAAACAACAAACAAAAAAACAGTTGATTATACCCTCGTTCACTCAGCAGTTATAGTGTGCATAAAATAATACACGTAACACTGCATTTTGATTGTATAGATAACGGTTTGTTGAGAAAGCAATTTAAATGTCCCGCAGATCAGAGTGGTAATGTTCCATGTTCTTTTGTGTGGAACTTTATGGACGTACAATTACAGTAGTAATACCTTACGTTTCGGATCTACGGAATTATAACTGTGTTTAGTAAAAATATTACTTGGTAAATGGTCATCTCGTAAATAATTCATATTGATCGTTAAAGATCGAAGGATCGCATGAAAACACCATAGGGCAACAATACTTGGCTCAGCACTAATATTCACACAACATTCACAAACACAGGTTCCCTGTCTTGTCCCCATATTGTGGAGACATGGGGGACCCAGTGGTGTCAGGGACGGCAGTTCGCTGTGCTGAGTTTTATCCCTTGACATGATCCACTGAGATCCAATATTCCCTGTGTAATCTGTTTTTTTATTTGTTTCGTGCTTAGTTGTTTTGGAAAACTCCGTTTTAGTTATATGTTGGTCTTCTGTTCTTTTTGCACATGCAATCAAAAAGTGATATGTCCCCATATCGTGTCAGAAACCGAAACTAGAAAATGTGCCGGGACTGACAAATGTTGAAGCTGACAGAGCGTCAAGAATTTTTTCTGAGCGAACTGAGTGGTCTTTGGACAAAACTGTGTTTCAGAAAATCCTTGAACACTTTGGTGTGAATCCAGCCATAGATATGTTTGCTTCACGTTTAAACACGAAGCTTCCACGTTTTGTCAGTCGGCGGCCAGAGCCTGAAGCCGAAGCTGTAGATGCTTTCAGTTTGTCCTGGTCAAAAGAGCTAATTTATTGCTTCCCACCTTTTTGTCTCTTGTCTAAGTGCTTGCAGAAAATACAGTCAGATAAAGCAGATGCTCTTGTTATTGCTCCACTATGGTCAACCCAGTCATGGTTTTCGCAATTAATCAAAATGATCTGTTGTAGGCCTGTCAAGTTGCCCAAAGGGAAGACTGTGGTGACGTCACTGGACGGGAAGGTTCACCCGCTAGGAAAGAGACTGAATCTGACAGCTTTCCTACTCTCCGGCAAATATGCGCAGACAGAGGCATTTCTTCGGATGCAACCAGTGTTATCATCAGTTCGTGGCGTTCTGGCACCAGGAAGCAGTACGCTACATATATCCGGAAATGGAGACTGTTTTGTTGTGAAAGGGAAATTGATTTTACTAGACCACATCTAGGACAGGTGTTGGACTTTTTTATGTGTTTATTGAACCACAAACTTGGTTACAGTTCTACACACACAGCACGATGTGCGTTATCAACATTTATTGATTTGGACGATAGACCTTGTGGATCACACTCTGTAGTGTGTCGGTTTCTGAAGGGTGTTTTCGAGATGTTGCCACCAAAACCACGTTATACAGAGATGTGAAGTGTGACAGATGTTTTGCGTTTTGTACAGAAGCTTACACCAGCTGAAAGATTTATCTTTAAAGGATTTGACTATCAAGTTAGTATTGTTGCTTTCATTAGTGTCTGCCCAGAGAGGTCAGACCTTACACTTGTTAGATATAGACCTTATGACAAGGAGTCAGGATGATACTTTGTTTACATTTCATATTGACAAATTAGTCAAGCAGTCTAGACCAGGTAGATTACCTAAACCAGTTGAAGTCAGGGCCTATTCTCATGATGAGTCACTTTGCCCACTGAACACTTTGAAGTGTTACCTCAGCAGAACCGAGAGCATCAGAGGATCGGTTACACAACTATTTATAACTTACATTAGGCCTCACAATGCAGTGTCAAGAGACACACTGTCGAGATGGACAAAACTCGGACTTCATAAGTCTGGTGTGGACATTCAGGTATTTAAAGCCCATAGTGTTCGTGCTGCCTCCACCTCTGCAGCGAGGTGTGCATCTGTACCCATTTCAAACATTTTGGAAAAGGCTGATTGGTCATCAGAGAGAACATTTGCCACATTCTATCACAAGCCTATTGTAAGGGACAGAGGTCTGTTTGAATCAGCAGTGTTGGGCAGTGTGATTGAGTAAATATTGCTGGGTTGGAAAAGCTGGCAGGACTTGTCAGTCAATGCAATGTACTTTTAAGTCAGTGTACACAATGCTTATGTGCGACTTATGATGGTTATATTGTCAAGGGTAGCTACCTTCGCTGTCATTGTATTTGAGAACAATACATTTAACAATAAAAACTCTTTTGAACATTGCCATTCTTATTTCATATTTGGAATAAAGGTTTCCACTTATGGTGTATTCCCAGCTCATACGAGTGTATATCAGTCTTTAAAATCTCATGGAATCTCGAACATTACGTGATTAGCTGATAGAATCTAAAAGTTAAACGAGACTTACCTGTAAGTTGAAGGTTGACTGTGGTTATATGAGCTAATCTTAAGTAATGGAGGGATTACATGCCCTCCCGTGGATTCCCACCCTTTTTTCTGGGTATAAGTAATATTTCTGATACACACTCGTACTTTAAAGTCTGACTCGCGCATGCGCATTGCAATCTCATGTAATCCCTCCATTACTTAAGATTAGCTGATAGAACCACAGTCAACCTTCAACTTACAGGTAAGTCTCATTAAACTTTTAGATTATGATTTATGTATCTGTCAATATAAGGATTGAAGTTGTACTTGTTGACGTTTATCAGCTGATGAAGACAGTGCCTCGCGTGAACAAATTTATCATGGATTTTGCTCACGTGTTGTTAGAGTGTTAAAATATATAGAATAGTATGACGTCTACTTAAATACCATTTTATAAAATCATTTATCATATAATGGGTAGGGGGCACGGGTGGCCCAGTCGTCTAAGGCGCGGCGATCCGCTGTGCAGAGTTGCGTCCTTTGGGCACACCAGAAACCTATGATTGTGGGTTCGAATCCCGGTTCGCCCCGATTAGGTTTCTAGGTTTGGAACAGGAATACTGTTAAAAGCGGCGTTAAACCCAACTCACTCATATAATGGGTATGTTTCACGACAGGATAAAGCCAACGGATAAACACGATATCCGTAGGGCTCATATGCGGATAGAGATGCAAACATCAAAGGTCAAGTAGGGACTACTTTCAGTGTTTATTAACAAACATGGTGTCGCCATTGTCATTCGGTGATCGAGTCAGAATTAACCATCGGGAATCCGGAGAAACTACTGGGATAATTGCTATCACAATCAAAACTATTGTCAAATATGCTGAAAATCAGTGCCTAACTGTAACGCAGCTGAGGCATTTTACATGTTTTGGCAACTTTGGAGATATAAATTGCAAAAGAATTTTGCGAGGGCACCAGTTGCCATATCTGTGCTCGCAGACCTCTGCGATCAGTTGCCATATCTGTGCTTGCAGACCTCTGCGGCTTGGAACCCTTTCCACAAATTTAAACAGCTGGATTTGGCAGGAATATGTTCGAATTGTTACCTTCGTTTTCTACATCTGACTGCACTGCGTGTTATGACAGGACAGACCTACTGTCAACAACGTCTGTCTGTGTCCGAGACGTCTCATAGACTAGGGTTAGAGTAGCTTCCCTTCCCGCGTCATTACCCGGAAGTGACCTTTAGGTCACAGTGAAGGAAGTAGTCTATCGAGGTAGGTGTGTTGTAACTGTTTGTTATCTCGCACGCCTGCACACAGATAATTGTTCAATAATCAGGGCCAAAACTTGCTGGTATATGTCACGATGCTATCGGGACGCCTAATGTGGTACAAATACCCTTGTATACCAGCTGTATATGTGCCGTAGAACCTGGCTATTAATGCTACGTGACAACAGTATGTTTCTACTTTCGTTTTATAACGAGGTGGGACATGCCACTCATACAAACCACGACCCACTTTAATGCTGTTACGCTGTGCATGAAGTGTCACTTGAATGCATATATGTACCAGCTAACGCTGCGCCGATATTGATTTATTGAAAGCAGGTATTTTCCTTTGACATTTAGACGGCCTCAGTGGTCTAGCGGTCGAGCGTTTATCGGGGAAGTGGAAGTAGGGGGTTGGAACTAGTACAATCACACACACACACACACACACACACACACACACACACACACACACACGGTGTGAAGGTATGCGTTGGCTGCCATAAGCAGGTGTTTAAACAGTGGTCGTTTAAAACAGTTTTCGGGTGATAGATCCCTCTAACCACCTAGGCTGCTGCAAATATGTATTATGTTCATGACACTGTTTGTGCCATAATTGATTTTCGAATTGATTTCTACAGACATTACATATTTTGGGATATTTAAAAGTATGTGTTGATTTGTCTGATATAACATCAGGAATAACTTAACACAAAATGTGATACAGGAAAATATTCGATTTGATTGGTTAGAGGTCTTAAATCACAATCAGCACCTTCCACGGCCCAGGCACGGAACAGTCTAATATTTACAGAAAAGTACTTGATAATGAAATGCTCAATAAAAAGCATAGTGTTGTGGTTACTATAACATTCTATAGAAAACGATGTTGTGCAGAAAACAGGATAGCAATCGACTGGGAAAGTGTATTTCCAGCTTTGGGCATTAAAGACTAAATGGTAGCGCTTTTCAAAACGTGCTGGCGTCAAATGATTTGCTCACAATAAGTAATGTGACGTCATAATAGCGCTCTGCTGGGCAGAACTAAACCTTGAAAGACATGCTTATTACTCTTCTACCAAGCTTAAGATCAAGACAAAATATGGAACTGAGAGATCGCTCATAAAGTTTTCTGTCTTCAGAATGGACAGTTTCCCGAAGTGTTCTGTCTGTCACCAGCAGTTTACCCTGAAAGGCCCAGTCCCCTACTTACTGCCCTGTCTACACGCTGTGTGTGAGAAGTGTGTGACATCTGCAGCTGGCGATGTGATATCATGCTCTACATGTCAGAGGGAGGTCAACCTCACAGACACAAGTCTCCAGAAGGATGCAGTCAGACAGAAGGAGATATTCCACCTGACAGTCAAACATCGCCCCACAGAGCTCCTCTGTACACACGAAGATGACGGCAACCAGGCTGTGTGTTGGTGTCGGGAGTGTGAAGAGTTCCTCTGTGAATTCTGCCAGAACATGCACAACACCTTTAAACTCACCAGAAACCATTTACTGCAAAACTTTAATGACATAAAGCCGGTTGTGTCCAACATCCCGACCCCTTGCAGTATCCACAACCATGACTCTCTTTATCTTTTTGATCGAAAATGCAACATTTTGATTTGTGCAAGATGTAGAATTGAAAATCACGCAGATCATGAAGTTGAGAAGCTAGAGGTGTTTGCTGAAAGTGTCACAAAACAGCTAGTCCAACACAAACAAGACCTATCAACGTTACAGAATCGCCAACAATCACACATTCAGAATATCAGACAAGGAACCGAATTCACAGACAGAACACACGACACCGTGAAGGAAACTATTGGCCATACGTTCAGATCTCTGCGATCGCAGCTTGATCAAAGAGAAAAGGAACTTCTGACTGATCTTGAAAGTCAGACTGAGAAGACCAAGATAGCTCTACATACGCGTCTCACCACATCTGAAGATGATTTGAAGACATGCACTGATGTTTTAGACTACATCAATAAGGTTCTCCTCTATGCCTCACAAGAAGATCTGACGGAGTTGGGGAGTGCCGTCGGGGAGACAACACGGGCCTTCCTGGACACGACTGTGCCTCAAACACGTGGCATACCTGTAGCTGTCTTTAACACAAACGGCTTGTCAAAACTGAAATCAAATATATCAGAATTTGGTTCCACCTTGACAAGAGAAATAGAAGAAGAAAAAACAAGAGGTATTTATATGAAAGATAATTGTAAGGTCTTTTCTCAGGACTCTGTACAAATTGAACACGTTTTCATTGTGTTCACTACTGCCTATTATTATAAGCCTCTTGTGGTATACTTACACTGTTTATTTTCACGTGGTTAGTGCGCTGATGGTTGTGGGCTACATTAAACATTACTCGGATTATGCAACATCACTGTATTGTTTCAGACCAGGAATGTCAAACTAAACATGACTCCAGTATGACAGAGTTGGAGGTACAACACAAAACGGTGAGTTTTGTCAATGATAAAACATCATTACTTCTAAAATGAGCAGGGCGGTCGGGTAGCTTAGTGGTTAAAGCGTACGCTTGTCACGCCGAAGACCCGGTTTGGATTCCCGACATGGGTACAATGTGGGTAGCCCATTTCTGGTGTTCTGGTGTGATATTGCTGGAATATTGCTAAAAGCGGCGTAAACGTAAACTCAAACTCACCCACTCACTCACACTAAAATGTGCAGCGTGCACGTTCCTGCTTTCAAATGTATCAATAAACACAATCATGATAACTTTCGGGTTGGCTGGCTTTTGAGAACTGCATGTCGGTTTATGGAATATTAATTATCTATTCCAATATATTTTCAGCAGACTGCAGAACTAAAGACACAATTTGACTCAGACAAGAACAATATTGAAAGGCTTGAAACGCTAACAGATAAACTAAACGCTGAAATCACACACACATATACGTTTTTGGACCAGTAGTGCGTAATACCGCTACGATTTGTCAAACATTCCTTCATTGGACCAGGCATACTGCCCAAATCTGTCTTGAAATCTCAGGTTGACATTGGCTTGACGTTCATTTCGACGTCGTCAGCCAAGACTACCCTATCATCTGAAAACACGCGTCCAGCGACGCTTACCCCAGTTTCGACGTTATGTACACTATTGACGTCTGGTGGAAATGTGACGATTGGTATTGGGTGGCACAACATGAGGCCGTCGAGCATGGAGATAAGCTGTATGGAGACTTAGATTAGACATCCAATCTCCTGACGCGTTACTCGTACTCCAGTGGCCTGAAAGTATGCAGCAGTTTCATTCGCCGTTTGAGTTTGATTTCGTAGAGCCTGGGGGCACGGGTGGCCCAGTCGTCTAAGGCGCCGCGATTCGCTGTGCAGAGTTGCGTCCCTTGGGCACGCCAGAAACCTATGATTGTGGGTTCGAATCCCGGTTCGCCCCGATTATGTTTCTAGGTTTGTCAGCACCATACCCGTGCTCGTGGGTTTCACCGAAGTGGTAAACGTCTGAGACCTGCATCACTTCGGGCTTTACTCCCACATTAAGCTGACACGCCGCGATATAACTGGAATACTGTTAAAAGCGGCGTTAAACCCAACTCACTCACTCACTCGTAGAGCCTGGTTTCGATTCAATCCGTCGTGTTCTGGGTCGTGGGACACGCTGAACGGGGTCGATCTTCAACATTTTGGGTTTGTTGGTACCTGTTCAATTATCTTCTAATTGCAGTATGTGAAACATTAAACGTATTGCCCACTGCACGCAGTCTTCGGTCAGTGTCCAGCATACCAATACGCTCGCACGCTCCGGACGTTGCAGATGAGACATCACTTGTTCGTACACAAACAATGAATGAAATCAAGTAAATCACAACTGTATGATAATCAGAATCAATAAGATTGACAGAAATAATTGTCCAAAATTAATCGACCCTCCTTGAAAGTGTCGAAATCAGGAATGACATCTCAGGAAAGGAAGGGCGCTGCTGCGTTCAGCACGTGCAAACTGTCGGATATGTTTTGGTATTATGTTTTACAGACATAAACGTTCTTGGATAGAATGTTTGTCGTCAACTTATCTTTGTTCTAAAACTTTGTATTAACATTTATATTAACGATTCCTGTTTGTCGTCAACTTATCTTTGTCCTAAAACTTTGTATTAACATTTATATTAACGATTCCCTACTTTTTTTAAGAGCATATACTATCTCCATATTTTATTTTCAGCGCATTGATGACGAAGAGAACGTGGGGAAGAGAAGTTCAAAAGCCATCGATTTCCTGCTTGGTAAACGCATATCACCCTTCTTCAAGTTTTCCCTTTCTTCACAATTATGTTGCAGATCTAACTTGGAAATCACTCTGGTGTCATAGTTGTCTCAGAATGTGTAACGTAGTGAGTTAAACGTGTACGTTTCCTATGGATGTCCTCCATTAATTATGACGACAATCACACCACTATGTTTCATCTTGTATGAATGATGCTTGAAATATTGATGGTGCAGGTTTGGTCTCTGAATGCGGTGTTCATCTACTGACGCCAGGTGCAGTGGACAGGTCGATGGTTCTGAAGTGTGAGTATATTCAGCATCTTCCCCTGTAACATACATGTAACAACCGTATTGCCAAATCATGTGGGACCCTTGTACTGCTTGTCGGGTACTACACTGTGGGACCTGCCTGGTTGTGTTATCATTACAGTAAACTATGGTTATAACGAACACGCTTATAACGAACTAACGGATATAACGAACTAACTTTTTAGTCCCGACTATCTGCTGGAGTTATGCTGTATTTATGCTTATAACGAATTACGGTTATAACGAACTAAAATTCGTATTCCCTTCGAGTTCGTTATAACCGTAGTTTACTGTACTAGTATTTAAGTATTGGAGAAAAAACGCTTACGAGGTTTTGGTAGACAGCATGCCCTGGGGAGAGGGAAAAACCAAGGGGGCGAACCCCCAGGGCATGCTCGGTCTACCAAAACCGAGGGAAAGTGTTTTTCCATACTTATAAACCGAAAAAAGAAACTTAAAACAACATTTTTCAACATTTTTATGTTTCGAACATACTTTCCATGAACCTTAGGAAACGCGCGTAAAATATCTGTTGCTGGTGTACGGATCTTGAATAGGACCATCTTCCCGAGGCAACTGAGTAAACTGACTATAAAAGTCCAGTTTCCACTTTTAAAGTCAGTTAACTCTCTTGCCTCGGGAAGATGGAAAAGGACATTCTAAAAACCAGTGTGGCTTATCAACACCACTGTAGCCTCGTGGTACACTCACTGGGCTACAGATATGAAGGTTGCGAGTTCGATCCTCGGGAATATAAATAAACCATTTGTCATTTGATTTTACAGTTCATTACAGGTTACAATCTGAACGGAAGTTACATTAATAAAATACCCAGGACATTATATAAAATCCCTGGGTTATTGTAGCAAAAATGACTTGAATATCCTATAATATCCCAGGGACATTACAACGTCCCTGTTTATGAGATTTAACCCGACTGGAAAGTAAAACCTCACAATAGGTTTTAATGCCTATAGTGAGTGAGTGAGTATGGTTTTACGCCGCTTTTAGCAATATTCCAGCAATATCACGGCGGGGGACACCAGAAATGGGCTTCACACATTGTACCCATGTCGGGAATCGAACCCGGGTCTTCAGCGTGACGAGCGAACGCTTTAACCACTAGGCTACCCGACCGACCCTAATGCCTATAGAAAGAAGTCTCTTACTTAATAGCGATCCCAATGAATAGGTTTATAAATAAGGGTAAGTATGTATAAAGCTTGTACATTTTATTATATCCTTAAAGATGATGCGTTGCACCCCGCATGGTTATTCTCCCTGCAGCTTTTAATTGTAGATAAACAACTCTGACTCCTCGTTTATTTCTTAAATCATATCAAAACTCCCAATCACACCCAACAACCACCACACACACACCACCACCACCTAGACAAACATCTGATCTCTGAGCCCAGAAACTTTTTCAGTAATCTAGACTTGCCAAACATTATAGATTTGCATGGGTTGTAATGAATATATTTGTATCAGGGTCTGTATGACAGACTAACCACCACCACCCCTAACACACACACACACACACACACACACACACAGACACACAGACACACACACACCACCATCACTACCACCACCACCAACAACAACCCCAACACACACACACCACCACCACCCCCAACACGCACACACACACACACACACACACACACACCACCATCACTTTCGGATATGGTTTTATGCAATGGATTTATCCTGCCTGAGGGCGGCGTTAAACAACTAAGAAACAAAAGACAAACACATGTAAGCTACGTTCATATTTTGTAGGTATACATCTGCAATATGACAGCGACAGAGCCAATCTTGACTACGTCGGTATCTACACAGGAGAGCTGGTCAACAGGAAGTCGGACCCCAGATTTGCAGGGGAGGGACGACTGAAGAACTACAGGGGCACCTGCAGCAAAGCCCCCCTCCCCCAGCCTGGCTGCCCCCAGTATTGGGAGATGGAAACAAGGGTCGACTTGGAGAACCCGCTCACAGAAAACGCCCTCATCCTGGAGGTTGGCGTCTGTGCTGAGGTAGAGATGGACATGAGTCACTGTGTACAGGACAGTCCTCGTGCCTACTGCATGGGCGTCTACCACTGCCCTACACACGGCGGGATATGCAGAATTACGTGGAAGGAGGGGGAGGAGGAGAGGGATGTTCTGCATCTGCCTGACACTCTCACCAACACTGCAGGGGCATCGGCCACGCTGCATTACGGCGTTGTCTACGATGACGTCAGGGAGAAGATTGTCTTCATTGACGTGAAGGAGAACAAACTGGTGTCGATGTTAGACAACGTAGACTCCAGTCAACTACTGTGGCCAATGTTCGGGGTGTACAACCAAACTTTCGTCACTGTCAGCATGAGACTTGTTGTTGGCAGCGACATCTACATGACAGAGGAGAAGAAAGCAATGATTGTCGTGGCACTGTCGTGATGTCATCACATGATACAGGTGGCCATGTTGACGAGTATAAACACACAGAGACTTGAATTAATTTAAAGGTTGAAGACAGAGTGTGCTTCAACAGTAAGTGAGTGAGAGAGTTGGGTTTAACGCCGCTTTTAACAGTATACATCTCTATTGCAGAGATGATGGGTAATGGGATGACAGGTGAGAATTCATGAACATGATATGCGAAGTATCAGCTGGTGACACACGGCATTTGTAGAAGCTGTACTCGTTTTCGGGCATTATGACTATGCGGAAATGGTTAGTTTGGTACATGTGTACACATAGAAGGGTCAGATAACGATTTCATACTTCTAATTCATTGTTTTATGTGATGAACTCTGACCCGTGCCCCCTGCTTCAACAGTAATGATCATATTTTAGATGAAAAACATGTTTATTCCAATGTCCACTATACGATGATCTAAGATCTACATTATTTACGAGTATATCGTCTTAAATGTCAAACTGTTTTGATCCCGTCAATCAATGAGAAATTGTGTCCTTTTTAAACGTGAGGTATATGTCACTGCCAACACCGAATTTTTAATATTACAACGCAGAAAGCTATTGCTATATGGGTAAAACATTTGTATCTGTACATATCATCCAGTTTTGTGTATCGTCACTCATAAGTATTTGAGAGGCGCTGTATTATTATTTTTATGTATATTTTATGCTTGTTGTTTATTATGTACAGCGGTTAGACGAAAATAAAATACTTGTTTGTTTGTCTGTCTGTAGATCCTCCTCTGACACAGATTGTGGAGCTTAAAGGTGACCGTAATGATAAGGTTTCTCTGTATCGAGGACAGACAACACAATAGCTTAAATTTACAAATCCCTTTCAAGCTAGACGTTTCTTTCTGATTACAATAAATTACCTCGTTATACGGGATCTTTTGCTGTCACATCAGAAATTGAAATATTTGTATTTTCATTATACATGATTTCCTCGCTACATCTTCCTTGAATATGTATAAATTTCCGTCCTTCATAAAATAAACGGCTTGGCAGGACTTATCTGTGCAAGTTGGCTTTGGGTGTCATGTAATAGTATATTTGTTTGTTGTTTATTCCCAGACAGCGTATAATTATTGGAAGTCAAATGAGCTGTAGTCTGTGCATTAAGTTCGTGTGAACCCTACAGTTGGCTGACATTGAAGCAATGATTGTTTGTTTGTTAGTTGTTTTATGCTGCACACAGCAATATTCCAGCTATATGACGGCGGTCTGTAAATAATCGAGTCTGGACCAGATAATCCAGTGATTAATATCATGTGCACCGATCCACGCAAATGGGTTCGATGACATGCATCAACCAAGTCAGCGAGCCTGACAACCCGATCCCGTTAGTCGCCTCTTACGACAAGCATAGTCGCCTTTTACGGCAAGCTTGGGTTGCTGAAGACTTATTCTACCCCTGATCTTCACAGGGACTGACATACAAACAACGATTTCAAGAACATGCTGTGTGCTTACAAAGGCAAAACAGACCGTGTTATAGCTATATACTGAAGTTATCATCTTAACCTTTGTCAGGTCCCAAATGGTCAGGGTGTGCATGCCTGCGCTCTCGTACTTTGCAGACTAATACCGATTTTATAGTGCTAATCCACTGAGATACCATGCCACAGTTTAACATGAATACCCTACTCACAGTATATTGACTCCAAGCTGACCATTCCTTTAACCCCTTAATGCCAAGCACCACAATTTACATGTAGTATCATTGATAAACAGAAAAGTATATGAGAAAAGAAAATATATATATCAGCAAAGAGGTCTACTAACCTCAACAAACAATAAAGATAACCATCCTGTGGGATGTATATATATATATGTATGTATGGTATGTGCATGAACATCCATGTTCTTTCATTTTCATGGTTAAGTAAAATGTGTCTTAGTGAGTGATGTTGTTTACTCAATGATGCCCATAAATAATCAGTCTGGAAACTGGTGTCTGGAAGCATGATCATCAATCCACGCCATTGAGGCAATCAGCAAAACACAAAACATGGCCAACAATGTTCTCAAGTGGCCTGTTTCAAATAGCATGAGACATGCCCAGGGATCTATCTATCCTTCAGTCTGACGAAGACTTAATAGTGAGTGAGTGAGTTGGGTTTAACGCAGGTTTTAACAGTATTCCAATTATATTGCGGTGTGTCAGCTTAATCTGGGAGGAAAGCCCCAAGTGATGCAGGTCTCAGATGTTTACCACTTCGGTGAAACCCACGAGCACGGGTTCGAAGACTTGATACAATTGGCTGGCACCTGGATTCAATCATGGTTTTCTGGTGTACCTATGGGACGCAACTCTGCACAGCGTATAGCGGCACCTTAGTGAGTGAGTGAGTGAGTGAGTTGGGTTTAATGCCGCTTTTAACAGTATTCCAGTTATATCATGGCGTGTCAGCTTAATGTGGGAGGAAAGCCCGAAGTGATGCAGGTCTCAGACGTTTACCACTTCGGTGAAACCCACGAGCACGGGTATGGTGCTGACAAACCTAGAAACATAATCGGGGCGAACCGGGATTCAAACCCACAATCATAGCTTTCTGGCGTGCCCAAGGGACGCAACTCTGCACAGCGAATTGCGGCGCCGTAGACGACTGGGCCACCCATGCCCCCGCAGCACCTTAGACGGCTTGGCCAGATTAATTGATATTGTAAATGACGATCCATGCTATTGGAGTACGATGACATACAATCAACCACATATATTCGCCTCTTATAAGCATATGCTGCTGGCGACCTACACAGAATCCACACAGACCCACATGTATTAAGGGGTGGTGGAGGAACGTACCATACAAACACAGGATCAATCATTTTTTCATCAAAGAAACATTCATGTGTTTGTACACACGTAATTTACAGAAAAATGGTGTTATTGTAAATTTTACAATACATTGTATATTTATAATACATATCCTATCTCACACTATGCATTTCATGCCACTCCTTTGATCCGAGTGTGGAATCAATCCTAGAACATGTTTCCTGCTTAAAAAACACTTCACCCCAACACATCCCAGCCGTGACCATGGTTTGCCATCATTATCAATGGTCTATTCAATGTATGAATCTGGTGCTGATCATGTGACGTCCCCAGCTTACTCATTCTCTTAGACTTTCTTATTGGGTTGCTGACTAACACCAGCAAGTATTCTGACCATGTACACGATGACAGTATTCAATACAATATCATCAACCTTGGAATGTAAAATTCATAATCTGAGTAGTATTTTCAAAAGTCCTATTCAAAAATACAAAAATACTGAGCTTGACCACAAACGATTTATTTCAGTAAGTATATTATGTATAATATCAAATGTACAAATTACATACACTCTTTCACCACATGCATTCAATCTTTCTCTTATATTTAACAATATATTTCTACAATATAATACTCTTTTAACCATTCACAGGGACATCTTCACATTTAAATGTCAAGTGAGTGAGAATGGTTTTCGTGGCTTTTAGTAATACTCCAGCAATATCATGGCGGGATACACCAGAATTGGGCTTTACACACTGTACACATGTAGGGAATCGAACCCAGGTCTTCCGCGAGATGAGCCAACGCTTCAATCACTAGTCACCCCACTGCCCCTGTCATGACTGAACATTTAGACACCACTCTACTAGGGCTGGGACGGGTAACTCGGGTACCCGGGTCGGATGTGTCATAAGTAGGACCCGGGAACCCAGAGGACTACCCGGACCCGTGGTTAGTCACGTGATATATTGTTTAATGACAAAAACTCACTATAGCTCAGTGGTAACTACAAGTCGCTAATGTTCATATTTCATTCTGGCAATGCACACATTCCTTTTGACTTGTATATGTTTGAGTAAAGATAAAGCTTCAGTCAGCTTCAGTGAATGTTTGATCTGATCGTTTGATAAATGTATCCTAATACTTTTTGCCAGGCTGCGTAAAACAATTCCTAATCAGACATTTTGTTCCCAACTCTTGAGACCTGTAGTGGGTACCCGGGTAGGGTCAGGTAATAGGGGGTCGGGTACCCGGGGAGTAAATTTGGACTCGTCCCAGCCCTACACTCTACTATGTTACACATGGGGGTAAGGAAATAGATGAAATTAATTTCAGTAATTATGTAATGATCAGTGCTTCTTGCAGTTTGGCTAGTTCATATCATTTGCTCCACTGGTTTCACAAGTCGGAAATCAACCCCAGATTTTGGCGTGACGGTCGTACGCTTTATCCACGGGGCTGACCAAGCGTCCCCTCTAACTGACAAGGATGACCAGGGCACGTTCTTGAACGCGATCTTCATCCTAATTACTACTCCCATACTTAAACATAGATCACTGTGTTGAACAATGCCCAGCAAAGTATCCTGTATCAGGTACGTCTACAGTTGGTAATTCACTCAGTCTGAAGACCTGTGCTCGTGGAGCCTTGTGCATATCGTATGTGACACATGACTGACAGGTGTCATGAGTGAGTGAGGATGTGGAGTGTGTGTTTCAGCCGCTGTATGGTGTGGTCCCTCCCTAGTGCCAGCATCATGTCCACCACGCGAGGCCCTTCCTGTAACACACAGGTGATTAGGCAATCTTTCAACATACAGGTTTCAGGCAACGCGTCCAGGTAATCGAGTTCTTTTTAGGGATGTAAAATAGCCAAATAAGAGAAGACAGTATTGTTTTCAGTCTGACCTATTTCAAAACAGTATTGTCCATTGATAAAAACAAAAGCTCCTTTTCAAAGAGGGCTTAGTAATGTAAATATACTTATATATAAGATATGAAAATGTAATTGCATAACATAGTCACAGTTTGAAAACATGCTCATCCTTTTTGTAAAGATTACTGTTCAACGTAACATATAATATTAGGCTGAAGATGGACATCTTAAGGTTTTGAGAGATTGAAGAAAATGGAGGGTTTGCTATATCTTCAGATGGAGAAGGATAACATCAGAGTAAAAAAATCTGATTTAAATGAGATTGTGATAAAGCTGGAATGACTTTAAACAACAGTCACTCAGTCTCTCATATGATGACGTCATGTATGTATGTAGTGCTTACCTTCAAACCACTGAGTGCCTGCCTCAGACTATGCATGACCGGTCTCGCAGAATATCCTTCACCTCGGACCAGCTCCTGCAGCTCGGTCTGGAGCTGATCAGCATCAAACCCAGTAATGACGGACAGTCGCTGACAGCAGCCCTCCAACAAGTGTGCTACATCAATAGAGGCAGTTTTCAAATCCTGAACAGTCTCCCTCCGCGGTGCGCTCCACAGAAACCTCCAGTCTGACTTCAGAAGATCCTTTGGTTTCATAATCCTGCCCTGAAAAACAGATCAGGAATCAGGGTTGGTTGGTTGGTTTATTGTTTAACGCCGCACTCAGCAATATTCCAGCTATTTGACGGCGGTCTGAAAATAATCAAGTCTGGACCAGACAATCCAGTGATTAATATGAGCATCGATCCACGCAATTGGGATTGATGACATGCATCAACCAAGTCAGCGAGCCTGACCACCCGAACCTGTTAGTCGCCTTTTACGACGGTTTCCAAGATATTCCTTAGAATTATTACCAGATGACATAGATCCAAACATATCAAATTTAATAAACATTTTAATCATAGCAGCGAGGGATGAGATAGATGATGTCATCTTCAGTTATTTGAGACACAAACAATGAAACCAGTAGAGCAAATGGTGTGAACTAGCCAAACAGCAAAAAGCCCAAATCATTATCATAACTACTGAAATTAATTTCAACTATTTTCCTAGCCCCAGCATGCGTGAGTGAGTGAGTGAGATACTTTATTTTAACATCAATTAGAACAGTATTTCAGTTATATCATGATGCAGGTCTCCGACATTAACCACTTTGGTGAAACTCATGAACACGGTATGGTGCTGACAAACCTAGAAAGAGAATCGGGGATTATAACCAATGATAACATGATTCCAACACAAGTAAGGGAAACTACACACACGCAGTGAATTACAGCACCTTAGACGACTGAGACACCCATGCCTCGCTGTTTCGTGTGAACATCTCACATTGGCAGTGAAATGGCAGGACGATGCAGGAATGAGCGAGTGAGTGAGTGAGTATGGCTTTATACGCCGCTTTTAGCACTATTCCAGCAATATCATGGTGGATGACACCAGAAATGGGCTTCACACATTGTACCCATGTTGGAAATTGAACCCGGGTCTTCGGCGTGAAGAGCGAACGCTTTAACCACTAGGCTACCTGACTGCCCCGCTATGCAAAAATGAGTGCTGCACTGGCAAGTATCAAATCTTAACTTTAAATTAAAAAACTAAATGTTCAAAATTCATGACATAAGCCCCACATACAACACTGCACGCTCTGACACATTAGTGTCTCCTTCTTTTCATGTCTCAAATGTCATTAGGTTTTTCAAGTATGTACACATATGGTAACAAACAGATTTATTTATTTTATTTGTTTGTTGTTTAATGCCACACTCAGCAATATTCCAGCTATATTTGTTGTTGTTGGTTGGTTGTTTAACGCCGCACTCAGCAATATTCCAGCTATATGACGGCGGTCTGTAAATAATCGAGTCTGGACCAGACAATCCAGTGATTAATATCATGAGCATCGATCCATGCAATTGGGATCGATGACATGCATCAACCAAGTCAGCGAGCCTGACCACCCGATCCCGTTAGTCGCCTTTTACGACAGCGTTAACAAAAACAAAACAAGCATACCTCCTTTCTTTCCGGGTGGTCAGGCGGCCTACTGGTGAAAGCGTTTGCTTGTCACGCCGAAGACCTGGGTTCGATTCCTGACATGGGTGCAATGTGTGAAGCCCTAGCATAGTCGCCTTTTACGGTAAGCATGGGTTGCTGAAGACCTATTCTACCCCGGAATCTTCACGGGTCTATTCCAGCTATAACAAGCAGAGAAAGAACTGGTACTCAGTCTTACCTCCTCAAAGGCACAGTCAAGGATGTTACCAATGTACTCCGAGCTGAGGATCTGTTCTCTTAATGTCCCTTCACCCAAGCTGAAAACAAATAAAACATCTTAATATATAACAAAACTCGTGAACATCCGGGGTAGAAAAGATCTTCAGCAACCCATGCTTGCCGTAAAAGGCAACTATGCCTGTCGTAAGAGGCGACTTACGGATCAGGAGGTCAGGTTCACTGACTTGGTTGATGCACGTCATCGATCCCAGTTGTGTGGATCAATGCTCATGATGCCACTCACTGGATTGTCTGGTCCAGACTCGATTATTTACAGATCGCAGTCATATAGCTGGAATATTGCTGAGTGCGGCGTTAAACAACAAACAGACCAACAAACTAATATACTACAAATTGGATCTCATATATTTTAGAACTACTGGTTCATATCTGTTCAGTGTAAAGCAGTCCTCAAATCTAAGGCCTTGCTACATGTGAAGGTGTCTTCCCACCTCTGACTGTGTCCAGCCAGCACAAGTGTCCGGACGTCTTCTATAACCTGCTGTCTGCTGCAGCCTCTGCCCAGCTTGGCGCCAAGATGAATACGGTTTGCTTCATCCAGGTATTCAGGATCCAGTCTCCCAGAGTTACGACGCAGTCTCTCTAACGAGAACTGGAACAAACAACATTCATTGATAAGTTTACACACAAATGACTTCATGATCGACATTGATCAAATATTGCTTGGAAGGCTAAAAAACATAAAAGAATTGGTTCTCAGGCAATGACTTTTGTAACAAGTGGTGCCGGCAGGGAGTGTTTTTTTGTTTTGTTCAAACTAGTATGTAACCAATTACCATCAACCTGGTAAAGGACCTTCCTACACAAAGAAGCATACAAACTCCTATTGCCTCTTTGACCATAACGCGAGATGTGCAGTAAAGTAGTGCACATGTAAAGGGAAGTAACTGCATGCAATATTGGATCGCTTTATTTTTAAGCACCGGTATTAGTATTTTTTTATTATTATTTTTAAATGGAAATAAAAACAAAATATGAAGCGGACTTTATGTCTGCCACAACTCATACAAGTGCAAATCTACGAAATTCATGAAAACAAAGCTTAAAAGTTTGCAGGATTGTATGCAGAATTACCAAAACTTGTTAGCAGAATTTACCAAAATTGACTGCAAATTGTTATTTTATTGGGGCCAGAGCTTACAGCAGGACTGACAGACATCTTCCAGGTGGCAGCTGATCTGCCAACTACAGTCCAATCTTCCATTTCACATTTGCTATCGTCTAACTCAATGTTTCTGGCAATGTCCAAGCTGTACTACACTCTCTTTGGTGGAGCTACACATGCTGCATACTACGACTACATCGAAAAGTCACATCAACCTTCACATCCATCATGACAACATCTGTAGTGAGCGTATATACCCTAGTTTGTTTGTTCGTTGTTTAACGCCGCACTCAGTAATATTCCAGCTATAAGACGGCGGTCTGTAAATAATCAAGTCTGGACCAGACAATCCAGAGATTGACATCATGAGCATCGATCCACGCATTGGGAAACAATGACATCAACCAAGTCAGCGAGTCTGACCACCCAATCCGTTAGTCGCCTCTTACGACAAGCATAGTCGCCTTTTACAGCAAGCATGGGTTGCTGAAGACCTATTCTACTTATCCCCTAGTGATCTAACTGTAACACTTCAGGGAATAATCACATTAGACAACAGATGATGTCTGGACCTGTCTTGTTTCTTGTCACAACACTGTGTAAGCAGTACTGTTACCTGTTGAATCATCTCCTCCAGGGAGAAGCCGGTAGTTCCGTCGCTTGAGAAGCCACCCCCTATTTTGGTCACGTAGTTCAGCAGAGCTTCTGGGTAATAGCCTTCGTTCTACAAACACAAATATCTTCGCAAGGTGAAATAGGGAAATGACATTCAACATTATTTCACTGTGTGTGGCTGCCTCTACTCATGAGTCAGGACTTACTTGGTTTTACAGTGCCAGCCTACTGAGATACAGTGATGTAATTTAACATGGATGGACAGTCCGTGTACATGTATAACTATTGGAAGTCAAATGAGCTGTAATCGGTGCATGAGGTGAGGTGAAATGGGGTTTAACGTCGTGTCCAAGATTATTGCACTTATATAGCGGCATGCATGTACGTGTGTGTGTTTGTGTGGCTGCTTGTACTAGTCCGGACTGATGCCGATTTATAGTGCTAGCTCACTGAGATACCATGTCACAGTCTAACATGAATATTCCACTCAGACACAGTATACTGACTCCGAGGCGACCAGTCCTTGATCTCCGGACCTTCCGCTCTCCGGGCGGACGCTCTACCACTAGACCACGGAGGGCAGTCTGTGCATGAAGCTTGTGTGAACCCTACAGTTGACTGACATTGAAGCAATGATTGTTTGTTTGTTAGTTGTTTTACGTCGCACTCAGCAATATTCCAGCTATATGACTGCTGTCTGTAAAGAATAGAGTCTGTACTAGACAATCCAGTGATTGGCATCATGAGCATTGATCCACACAAATGGGATACAATGACATGCATCAACCAAGTCAGCGAGCCTGACCACCCGATCGCCTCTTACATCAAGCAATGTCGCCTTTTACAGCAAGAATGGGTTGCTGAGGACCGATTCTACCCAGGATCTTTGAAGCAATGAAATCAGTTTTAGAAAGCTGTGGCACATGTGACATTTCGTTGACGGCTTCTGAGCACTCATTAGTCTAAATTAGCAATCAGGCGTACATATTCTAAGGGGAATGGATCAATGCAGAGAACATCGATGAGGTGAGGTGAAATGGGGCTTAACACTGAATTGCAAGACTATTGCACTTATATATAGCAACATGCATTTTCATGTGTGCATGTATGTGTCCAGACTTATACAGGTTTTATAGTGCTAGCCCACTGAGATATTATGTAACAGTATATCTTAAATACCTCACTCAGACACAGAATACTGACTTCGTCAACCAGTCCTAGTTTTACCCCCCTTATGCTGAGTGCCAGGCAGGGTAACAACAAGTACCATCTTTTAACATTTCTTGGTGTGATGTGAAGATCGATGAGGTGAGGCAAAATGGGGTTTAACGTTGCGTCCAAGATTATTGCACTTATATAGCGATGTGCTTGCATGTGTGTGTGTGTGTGGCTGCTTGTACTAGTCCAGACTGATGCTGATTTTACAATGCTAGCTCACTGAGATACCATACTGTAGTTAAACATGAATACCCCACTCAGACACAGTAGACTCCAAGCCGACCAGTCATTGTTTTCGCCCTGATGCGAGCATCAGACAGGGTAACAACAAGTACCAACTTTTAACGTCTTTTGGTGAAGATCGATGAGGACACTAACACAACAGTAGAACAAACCTTGAAGTGTTCCACTTGGACATCGTCTCCTCGTTTGGACAGCTTGGTTCCATCCCTGACCAACACACAAACATATATCCGTCAGTGTTACCATCATTTCAAGAATGTGGTCTCATGAAAAGCAGATGATCATCAAAATGTACCATTTTTATGTTTATGAATGTCATTTTCGCAGGCATTTTTCCGAACTTCGTGTTTAATGGAAAATCTACATGTAAACTTCACATTAAAAAATTATATAATTATGATTAGTACACTGGACATATTTGCCACAATAGATTTATTTTGAGGCTGATTCATGACACGATGATATAAGTAGCCATCCAATCAAATTACTCTCCCTAGCAAGAGAAATTCTGTGCTCAGTGAGCATGGAGGTGGTGACGTCACTTCCAAAACAAAGCTATGGTGGCGATGCATTGATCTCCACATGGCAAACAACAACAACATATTTCCTCAGAACACACAACATGTCAAATGCCACGTAGCAACTCACTTGTTGAGGATGAGAGGGAGGTGGGCATATCGGGGAGGATCCCAGCCAAATGACTTGTACAGTAACAGATGTTTAGGTGTGGAGGTCTGCCATTCCTACAGAAACAAAGGCAAGACAATGACACCTAATCCTCACACCACGATACCCAATCCTCACACCACGACACCCAATCCTTACACCACGACACCCAAACCTCACACCATGACAATTAATCCTCACACCTTGACAACCAATCCTCACACCACGACACCCAAACCTCACACCATGACAATTAATCCTCACACCACGACAACCAATCCTCACACCGAGACAACCAATCCTCACACCATAACACCCAAACCGCACACAATGACAACCAATCCTCACTCCATGACAACCAATCCTCGAACCTTGACAACCAATCCTCACACCACGACAACCAATCCTCACACCTTGACAACCAATCCTCACACCACGACAACCAATCCTCACCCCATGACACCCAATCCTAACACCATGACACCCAATCCTCACACCTTGACACCCAATTCTCACACCATGACACCCAATGCTTACACCACGACACCCAAAACTCACACAATGACACCCAATCCTCAGACCACGACACCCAATGCTTACACCACGACACCCAAAACTCACACCATGACACCCAAAACCTCACACCATGACAACCAATCCTAACACCACGACACCCAAACCTCTCACCACGACACCCAAACCTCACACCATGACACCCAATCCTCACACCACGACAACCAAACCTCACACCTTGACATCCAATCTTCATGCCATGACAAAAGGCCTTACATGTAACAGAGTGGATAACAAACACCAATATTCATGATTTGTAACCACAATGGTATACCACCATCATCAAGGAAACGTCAAATTTGGGTGCGACATATCAACTGAGGTACTCAGTGAGTGACTGGTGTTTAACACCACTTTGAAAGTATTTCAGTTTAAAGATGGCGTGCCTCCTACAAGGGACCAAAGCCCAAGTGACTCCATCTTCCCAAGGCAAGCGACTAGGTCATTGCCTTTGGTAGCCATCTTTGTGAAGCTATACAAGATAAGAACAGCGATCTGATTGGATATCGCGTTTTCATTACAAGGGGCACAACTCTACGTGATGTGGCGCCAGGGTCGAGCCACGAAAAGTGGCCTTGATGTGGCAAGGGTAGAAACTAGGCATTGATATAGGCTAGTGGACACGCTCGTCTCCGGAAGATGAAGTGACTCAGGCCAGGTACTGTGCTGCAGACCAAGGATGGTGGTGAAGGTGCATCTGGTTCTCATTCTGTCATTAACACAATTCATCTTGTATTAACAGGAAGTGCCCACAACTTACGTCTCCTCGAAGAACATGAGTGATGCCCATGTGATGATCGTCTACTACATTAGCGAAGTGGTACGTGGGAAACCTGTCACTTTTTATGAGAACCTACAACAGACACAAAACACACTAATTCTAGTCAAAGAAATTACAGGTTATTCTGTTCAAGTTCTGCCTTATAATAGAAGGGAGTATATCATTACGGACCTGTCTCCAGACCTCCCCCTTTGTTTACTCTGGAAAGATCTTGCAGTGGGACAAGAAGGTGTGAATGTTTCTCACCGGATCCTAGGGGAAGTCTGGTAGCCTAGTGGTTAAAGTGTTCGCTCCTCACGCTGACGACCCGGGTTCAATTCCCGACATGGGTACAATGTGTGAAGCCCATTTCTGGTGTCCCCCGCCGTGATATTGCTGGAATATTGCTAAAAGCGGCGTAAAACCATACTCACTCACTCACTCACCGGATCCCCCTCTGCATCGGCAATGTTGTGAGATGTGCGCCCCTTCAACAGGTCGTCCCATGGCTCTGCTGTAGCTTCAAGCTGAAACAGCAATTCAAACTTATTGTTGAAGATCTGAAAGAGTAGTTCGTCAAATAGTATAACAAAAAGTTACACAACAACTTTTGCTGTTTTGGCTTGCTGAATGTTATCAACATTACTCAAAGTTTCACCTCAAGATAAGCCCTTATTCTCGTTGAGAGTATTTTAAGATTGGTTTCAATGAAATAATGTTAAACAAAGTACTTTTATTCATTGCATAGAAAGCGATGCTCATGATGTCAATCACTAGCCTGTCTGGTCCAGACACGATTATTAACACACCACCGTCATAAAGCTGGAATATTGCTGGCCCAAAACTTTAATGGCCCATCAGTAAAATACAAGTAGCCATTGCATATGATTTTTTGTTATAAACAATATACTTTGGGGGAAATCTTTAATTCAAATCTAGGAATTTGTAGACCTGAGGACAAATATCGGACTCTGATATCGCCTATATAAATGTGGCATGCTACAAGGGATTGGTGTGGCTGGCTGCAGTGGTGTCTGTGTTTGTTGTTAAAGAATCCCACAGAACAGGGACGTGAACACACCCACTCATGCAGCATGCTACAAATGATTGGTGTTGGTAGTTGCTGTAGTGTCTGTGCGTTTGTCGTTAAATGCCGCGCTCAGCAACATTGCAGCAATATGAGGGTGGCTGGTAAAATAATCATGAATGGACCTGGCAATCCAATGATTTTTATTGTTAGCAATGATTCATCTCATCAGGATGGTGGCACACAATCAACCAAGTCACCGTGCGGTTTTGACAACCAAATCCATTAAACTCTCATAAAAAAAATAAACATCCTTGTAGATGAGCTACAGTAGAACTGAAGCAAGATGTTTCAGCCTCAATTACTATATAAAATGGCTACAAGATTTCAAATATAAAATACATTCCCTTGCCCGTAAAATAGCAATAGTGCTTTAGTAAATAATAAGACTAAATATTAATAATGTGGTTTTCAATTTATTTGCCCTCTTTGAACAGTACTTAAAGTAACATAAAAGCGTGAATGTTGGAGAAAAATCATAAGACATGCAGGTGTTAGACATCTACAACTTCGTCGAAACCCACGAGCATGCATACGTTGTAAAGAGGTGGGTGAGGTGAAAAGGGGTTTAACGACGCGGCCAAGATTACTGCACTTATATAGCAACATGCATGTATGTCTGTGTGTGTGTGGCTGCTTGTACTAGTCCAGACGATTTATAGTGCTAGCCCACTGCGATACCATGCCGCAGTTTAACATGGATACCAAACTCAGACACAGTATACTGACTCCGAGTCGACCAGTCCTTGTTTTAGCCCCTTAATGCCGAGCGCCGGACAGGGTAACAACAAGTACCATCTTTTAACGTCTTTTGGCATGACACGGCCGGGGATCAAACCCCTGACCTTCTGCTCTCTGGTCTACTACTAGACCACAGAGGCAGTCGATGTTGTTAAGAAACACAGCGTCCAATCCTTGTTGAGTCCTGGATCAAAACCCCATATCCCAGGAGTCTGGCATGGCAAAGGGATGCAACTCTGCAAGAGTCCGACCCTTGGGGAGTCCTGGATTGAAACCCCAAATCCTAGGAATCTGGCACGCCAAAGGGATGCAAGTTAATAGCAGCACAACGGGACCCTGCACATAACTAAACCTGTTGTATCGGCTCTCAACAGTCTCGCTCACCTTTAACCTGATAACATAGGGTGTATTTCTTGCTAACTTCTCCTTGACCTCTGAACTTGACCACTGGCGACACCTATTGTCGTACCTTGGTGTCTCCCCTCTGCGTGCAGCCTCCTTACGAACAAGCTCCAGTCTTCTCGGTGTGCAGAAACAATGGTACGCACTCTCATTCTGCAACAGAAGTATTCTGCTTTACACAAAAAAAGACAGTGGTCTTCACTTCATCTTAGGTACCCAGATTCACATACTCCAGACAAGACAGTTAAGACTTGCGGACTTTATCAAACTTCATTGTTTATCGATGCTAGTTCTTCGTAATGCTGATACTAAGTTGCCATAGTTACTTCTGTAAATATTTCACGATAGTTTTGAGTGAGTGAGTGTCCATATAATGGTGCAATCTCATTAAAATCAGATCTTAGTTCTCGCTCCAGCTCAACAAAGATCTGAGGACATCCCATTATGGGTCACGTCAGACCGACCTTTCGTGAACTTTGACCAACCAATGGAATGACCAATCAGAAGGCAGCTTTCTCGTGCTTTACGGCCCTAATTTCAAATTGGCAACTGCGCTTCGAAATATATTTTGTCAAATTCTCGATTACTAATTTGAAACCTGAACATAAGAACATTCTAGAATGGCTAATAGATGGTTGAGATTGTATGGATTAGTCGTTAAACCTGTAACTATCGTTAGGAGTTAAAGTTTTCGAGGTTGCATGATTAGAAATCCCATTCCGACTGTCACTTTCTGGTAAGCGATGCTCTGATTGGTCAGATGAAAGGTCGTTCTAACATGACCCCTAATGGGATGTCCTCAGATCTTTGTTTAGCGGTAGCGAGAACTGAGGTCTGATTTTAATGAGATTGTATAATGGTGGAAACAACAAATACAGACTTGATACATATCAAACCCAGGGCACTGTTCCACAAAGCGATCTTAGTGCCACGACTATCGTAAGCCAGTGTTAAAGTATGGGAGTTACGATCGCCTTAGCGCTAAGATGGCTTTGTGGAACAGGGCACAGGTCTGTGCTCAACACTTCAAGTGTGGGTGTCCATACTTACTTGAACAAGGACTTTGATGCTCTCTTGGTAAAGCTCAATTCTTTCTGACTGAAAAAAAAGGCAAGGAATGACATTAAAAAAAATCATTCGACAAAAGTAAGTTCAAGATGTACACATTCCAGAAAATGTTTTTTCGATAAAGCTATACCGGTGCTTTATTTTTCATGTAGTCCCTGCAAAGAGTGAGTGAGTGAGTATGGTTTTACGCAGCTTTTAGCAATATTCCAGCAATATCATGTCGGGGACACCAAAAAAGGGCTTCATACATTGTACCCATGTCTGGAATCGAACCCGGGTCGAGGGCGTGACGAGTGGTTAAGTTTGGTAACCACTAGGCTACCCAACCGCCCTTGCACATTCGGACAACTTATACCTGTTTGTATGGACCATAGCTGCCTCCCTGACTGGGCCCTGAAAATGAATAGATATTGACATATCACATATCATATTAGATGTAACATTCCTGGATGTACAACATTTGAAAACATCCTGTAGTGAGAGCATACAACATCTAAAAGATTACCATGCAGCTCATAGAAAAATTACCTGCATCAAACACCCAGACAGGTATATACAACCAGAGTCGGTATAAGATAGCCGAGGTGTTTAAAGCTTTAATCATCCAAAATCATTCACCCAAATATTTCAGTTTGCTAACAGTAATATAACTATTGTCTTGAGTCTAAAAAGTCAGCCAATCAGCTTCAGTGGCAGAGAGATTGATGGTGTCATTTAATGTGAAGGTTTTAAATTTGTTAATTTCATTAGGATGAGTTTTCTGAAGTTGAGAAAAGAGATATTTTCATTGCAGTGAACATAACACTTGATATTTCACTGCACTGAACTTAACACTTTGATGGAACTATTGTCATACAAGAGTTATCTCCCCTTAAATTATCTCCCTTTATCGTAAGTGTCTGGCCCGTTCCACATTGACAAGGTAAAATAATGACAGATGGTCATTTATGGAGTTTATTTCACTTCCTCCCATTTGTTATTCTGTCAAATATGTTTTGTTATGAACTGTAAATTTCTCATTTAACTCGTAAATCGAGACTTAATTTCGCAAAGCGCCATTTTGGTTACTTGACCTGCATGTATTCTTTCACTTCCAACAGTGGTCTCCTAGTTTTCAAGATTATGTTTTGTAATAGTTGATTTTGTATATTATCCTATCAAAATGTATGATAAAGAATTTTCATGACCCTAAATATTTTTTGTGTACTTTTGTAAATAAATTCTAAGACTTTGCAAACACAAACCACTCAGTCTCAGTACAAGGAGTGGTGAACAGTCCCTCTGTGTTAGCCTGTTAGGTAGGGAGAACTTACATTTCAAGGTTTCACATTTGCAATGAAATAATTTCATTTTCCGGTAGACAACTACACAAAAATTATAACATAAATAGGATATTCCATGTATCTTGTATCCCGGGTACCCACCCCCCTATTACCCTACCCTACCCAGGTACTCGCTGGAGGTCTCAAGAGAGAGGTACAAAATGTCCGATAAGAAAAGTTTGACCGTACTCCTGTCAAAATGTATTTAGATACAGGTATAAAATGAGTGAAGTTTTATCTTTGTGCAAATATATAAAGTCGGAAGGAATATGGGCATAGTCGGAAAGAAATGTGATCATTTCTCACTTATAGTGCAACCATAGACTTCTAGATAATATTGTGCCGTTAAACAATATAATCACGGGACTAACGACGGGTCTGGGTAGTCCTGTGGGTACCCGGGTTCTACTCAGTACCCACCTGACCCGAGTCCCAAGTTACCCGTCCCAGCCCATCTTCCCGAAGCAAGAGAGTTAACTGACTTTAAAAGTCCAGTTTCCACCCTTGCCAAACTAGGCTGGAATTCCTGGGCTCGATCGTAGCGCCACCAGTGGCTATTACCAGTTATGTCCCTTCTAAGCCTCTCCTATGGACCAATGAGATTCCACCGCTCGTATCACTTGCATTTGCTTCACCCAAAATGGTGGCGCCCAGTCAGGACGATCTGATCGATAATCAAGATCTATATTGTGATAAAACCGGTCTTACATCGCGAAATGCATCAAATCACATGAGCATCTTGATTAAAATCATGAAATGATTTGGAATATAACTGTTGACAATGAGTTAGCGGTGCACATGCTTTGCAAATCCTGCAATCGACCGAAATCTGCACGACAGTTTACGAACCGGATTTCGATTTCTGTGCGCGATTTTGATTGGACTATGCACAGACTCGTTAGTCCAGCCAAAATGTAACTCCATAATACCAGCCTAGTTCAGCAAGGGTGGAAACTGGACTTTTATAGTCCCAGCCCTAAAAAGGAGATAGTGTACACATGAAATATCCTCCATTTACTCATCTGGATTATGAATCTCAGTTTTAAGAGCCGTTTTTGTTTTTGGTGGTAGGGCGAGACATTCCTTACTTACCTTCATCAGGTGAGATACCTGCCCATGACAGCATGTCTTCTAACTTTTCTATTGCATTTGGTACTAAGCGAGTCTGTAAAACAGAACAAAATCAGTGATAATCATTACACACATATTGTGAATGGAAGGTCGTTTCAGCAAATAGTTATATACAGGAGGAAGCCACCCATGACAAATGTAATTAATCAAGCAAAATTGATTAACCTGATCTGTGTCTTCGATTCGTAGCAAGAACTTCCCTCCTGGTTTTGACTTTGCGAACAAATAATTGTATAGTGCCGTTCGCAGGCCGCCAAGATGTAGCATTCCGGTAGGGCTTGGTGCAAATCGCACCCGAACACATCGTCGGTGATACAGATTCCCTGTGCAGTGCAATCCTCGTCTGAGGCAACGGCTCAGTCTCGACACAGGCCATGCACCCGTGAGCGCGGCCATGTTGGAATTGGACAGATAAATACGGTTCAATTCCAAAACGGCACCTTATACAAAATGATCATTGAAAATATCAGACGTGATCTAGATCTTCTTAACGAATTTGGGATGCGGCTGGACCAATCGTCCAAGGACATCATTCGCCATTCTGATTTGAACCACCTTAGTTGTCCTGGAATGCGGGGATCATCAGCGTTAGAAACTAATATTTTTAGTCCACAAGTCCTTATAATGATAACAAATAGTGAGTGAGTGAGTGAGTTTGATTTTACGCCGCTTTTAGCAATATTCCAGCAATATCACAGCGGGGGGCACCAGAAATGGGCTTCACACATTTTATCCATGTCGGGAATCGAACCCGGGTCTTCGGCGTGACGGATAACAAATAGGAAACCCTTAAAAAATGACTAAGAAACAACAACGATTGGGCAGTTTGGCAAGGACTATAGCACAAGTGCTAATTTTTGATGCTGGTAATAACTCTGATGTGATAATGATTTCATGCTGTCACAGCTTTGTTCACGTAACACCGACAGGATTGTTACAACATATAGTGTAATGACGTCACAATTGTAAATTAATGTCACACCCTATTGTTGACGTCATGTTTAGCAAGTGAGTGTGTTGGGTTTAACGCTGCTTTTAACAGCACTCCAGTTATATCGCGGCGTGTCAGCTTAATGTGGGAGGAAAGCCCGAAGTGATGCAGGTCTTAGACGTTTACCACTTCGCTGAAACCCACGAGCACGGGTATGGTGGCGACAAACCCACAATCATAGGTTTCTGGGGTGCCCCCACGTCATGTTGACATTGCTATAAAACTTCATCACTGCAGCGAACCCTAAAGAGTGGGTAATAAAAAGCGTATTGCATTGATATGTGCATGGACTTTATTAAAAAATCGTATTCTATGTCCATAGTGTGTGTGTCATTTGCTAATCTGAACTGGTTGGTTGGTTGGTTTATTGTTTAACGCCGCACTCAGCAATATTCCAGCTATACGACGGCGGTCTGTAAATATTCGAGTCTGGACCAGACAATCCAGTGATTAATATGAGCATCGTTCCACGCAATTGGAATCGATGACATGCATCAACCAAGTCAGCGAGCCTGACCACCCGATGCCGTTAGTCGCATTTTACGACAAGCATAGTCACCTTTTACGGCAAGCATGGGTTGCTGAAGACCTATTCTATCCCGGATCTTCACGGGTATAATCTGAACTGCACCATCCCGCCCAGCAAATACAACAAAATAAAATTTACCTGTATTCCGAAACTACTGCCCACATTATCGCGATTGACATGATCCCATTACAAAACCCCACCAGCCAACGAAATTTGTTTTATTTGTTTATAGATCTAATTCATTTTCCTAGACATTTAGTGATCGGAGATTGGGTGAAATTTTGGCCGTTTTTGAGATATACAGTTAGGCATGAGGGCAGTTTTGGCAACATACTGGAGGATTCGGGTGTTGGTATGTCGCAAAATGTCTGATACTCAAAGTAGTGTCGTATAATGTTTGACATAGTAACATTAATCTTAAATCATTAAATATTTAAAGCGTCTCGATTTGATCTTCCAAGTTTTCTTAAATAAAATGCTATTGAAATAAATAATGGCAAAAATCAATTGCAACACCGCGCACCTGTTATCCGTATCCGGACGTGCAAGGCCATGCAAACATTGCGTGTGATCACTTTAGTTGGAATGTCAACATTTTGAGAGTAATTTAAAAGATCTCCACCACTGACGAATACACGACAGAACAGCAGTTTCAAGTCACATACGATGGTAAGAACTAAGGATGTCGATCAACTCGCAGTGTTTTAATTTGACTCTGAAAATGTTGAAAGGCTACACCTGTGGGTGTATGAAAATTCGTAACCCAAAAGAATTAATTCGTACCCCTAGAAATGAGAATGTCGTACCCAAACTCTAAGAAATTTCGTAATCTTATGCAATAAGCAATGAATTACGCAATATAACTTATTTATTTAGATCTGAACAACTAGCCGAGAGCAGTTATGGGGTATAGTCCAGTAATTAAAAGGTCCAGGTTCAACAAAATTGACGGAAAAGGTTTATTGCTTGATTTTGGTGCCTTGGCACATAAACATTAAAATAAAAAAAAGTTTACCAAAATAGGACATGGGGAACCATCCGAAAATAGGTCAAATCCAAGATGGCCGCCAACAAAAGTAATAATTAATAGTCATAAACGTGGAACCAATAACAATAAAAACATTTATGATGAGTCTATCTATATTAGCTTGCCAGGATAAATGCAAAGAAATGTATATTTAACAATTTTGAAAGGAAAATTCACGTAGAAATTTTAAATAATGCTTCAAAATGACGAAAAAGTACATAAATTTGTTAATATCAGTAATTCTTGCAGAACATGAACCGATTTATTATAATGTTGACGTTTTACATATAAAAATCATACCGTTTATTGTCTTCACTTAAATAATCAAATTAGAAACAAATATAATTGAAAAAGCTTCTTCAAAATGGCGGCCGAGCATACAATGTTTTAAAGATAGACCTCAAGAACATATAGGTATGTATAAGCTATTTTTCTTTTATAGCTAAAATGAAAACTTGTATAATATATAGTTGATTGGCTCTAGAGAAGAATAACTGATGAAAATATGAACAAATATAAATATAAAATTTGAAACAGAGCCTTAAAATTAACATCAACATTTGTTTCAAGGAAAATCAAGGGAGATAACCCAAACTCCGGGAAGCAGTTATTTTTCTCAAATGGTATTAGCTTCTCAGAAACTTTATTAAAAGTTAATTCAGAAGATATAATCAAGACATTTAGCACAAAAATCATTTGCTATAATCGGAAAAGCAACATTTGTATCTGTACACATGTCAACCATATTTCTATCAACTGTTACTATTCGCAGGTGACTATTCTCAACTGAAGGTGTCCTATGTAGATCACAGATGGCGACTTGTTTGCTATGTATGGAACCAGTTAACCTGGACAAACCCCAGGATTATGTGAAGTTGACAGCAAAATGCTGCTGTAGCATTAATAACGCAAACAGACTGCACAAATTAGATGCACCAGACATCATATACAACTGTAGCCTGTTGGTACATAGACAGTGTCGAAGTATGCATATAAATCCAAAGGCAATCAAAGTAGCTGAAAACTCTTCGATCATATGTTTAAGCCTTAAATTTTAAAACTCACTGTTTTCTATGTTGTACTTGTATTAACCAGGATGTTGCATACACACATCCATATAGAAGTGTACTTCAGCAGTGCGATGGCTCTTGAGTTACTCAACATATGTCTGCAACATACTGTGTCAACAGGCAAGATGATTGGGCCAAGATAGTACAGCCAGGTATCGTGCCCATATACGATCTACCAGCTGAAGAAGCTATCCATCACCATGCTTATGATAAGAATTTTCGGAGAAGGACAAGTATACCTGCAGCTTATATTGAACATGAGGAGGCTCCACCAAAGAAACGGAGACTTGGTCGACTGAAGTGTATGTCCTAGATGACAGCATTTGAGATTGCCATTTATTACTTGGAAGAGAATGATGATGAAACGATTCCTTTGGACAATTTGCATCACATTGTGAAGTCAATGAGTGCACTGAGTGATGATCAACTACACACTACATCTCAGCTGAAAAGGGAATTCATGAATCACTATGGGAACAAGGTATTCATAACTACAATCAGGCAACAACCTAACATTGCATCTCTTACAGCATATGAAAATGTTGCAAAGGTGGACAAATCCGACATGGACAGTTTGATTAAAGTTGGGGGAGGATACGTTCATACGCAGGTAGAGACCATGTCGAAACATGTTGATGTGTATCTCGACAATGAGCAGATGGCATTGATTGACACCAATCTTGATTACCTCCCACATGCATTACGCATCCTCCTTCAAGCATCATCAAGAGCTGAAACAGTAAACCCCATACTGCGTCATTGGGTCAGGCAATAATGCATTCGACATGTCCCCATCATTTCTGCCTCCTCGACAAGTTTGACAAAGTATCACACTATAACACAAATATGGTCATTGTAATTTAGTGGATATGATAAGCCAACGCGGTTTCAGCTCCTCGTAAATTTAGAAAATTCTCGGTGACCACTCATGGTGTTCACCTAATCAGAGACATTGCAGATACATTCGTGCAATACCAGGCTGGTTATATAGATCATGCCAGCAAAAGGTTTGATGGCACTGGCTCAATCCATGCCATGGGCAAGATGGTGAAACGGAGGGTACCAAGAGTTAAGGTGGACTTGGATGATGTTAAACAAATCAACAGTGTCAAACTATTCTCACAAAGAAATCCAAGGCAATTGGTGACTTCTGTCTTGATGAAAAGAATAGCAAACTAGATATTTTGTGGAGTGCGCCACTTCTTTGTGTGTTGACCACTGTGTTCCGGTTGCATGCAGTTGCTCCATTATGACATTCCATACCCCAGGAAGAGCTCTGAGATATTCTTGTCGATTATCAACGTGACACCAAGTGACAAATCCTGTGTCAGATCAACGCTGGAGTATATTTCCAAACATGCCAGACGACATGGAATCACACCGGTTATTACAATCGACCAGCAACTTTGGTTAATTGCATACATGATCATCGAATCACGGCCAGCTGAGAGCCCCTTGCATCAAATAGCCCTGGTCTTGGGGGGATTCCATACTTAGATGAGTTTTGTGGGTACATTTGGGAATCTGATGGCTGGATCTGGGTTAAAGGAGATCATCACTCAAGTATATTCAGAGGGTAGTACAGGTCAGATGTTGTCCGGCAAATCAGTGTCACAAGCTGTGTGGGCTCATTTCTTTAGGAACCACTTCTGCAATGCTCTTATTGTGTTTGATGGTTATTGTGGTGTTTTTCGACCAAGGATGAGACCCATCAGAGAAGAACTGGAAGTGAGATTGGAGTGGATGTGGATTTCACAGCAGACATGATTCTGAAAATGAAGAAAAAGCCCTTTTGGCAAATGAAAGAAACAAACAGAAATTCATCAGTCTGTTGGGGTCAAAAATCGAAAAAGGTGGGTTTTCAGATTAAACACTCATCCGGAGATGCTGACTATGACATTGCAATGTCTGCCTGGACATTGGCTCAAACACAGCCTGTGGTAGTGGTAGGGAATGACACAGACCTTCTCATCCTGTTGCAATATCACTTCAGACCCGATACCATGAGGCCATCTTTCTTCAGACAAGTACAAAGATCATTGAAATCTTCATCCTACAGATGATCCTTGATCCTAATCTCAGCCATTCTTTGCTCTTTGTACATGCATTGTCAGGGACCGACACAACATCGAGGCCATATGGCATAGGGGTGGTCTCAGGAATATTCAAAGGTTTTCATGGTGACAGGTGAAAACCATGCAGAAATCGAGCAGGCTGGTAATCAGGCACTTGCAATCCTCTACGGCTGTATGCCTGGCTTGGATTTGAATTCTGAACGTGTGACAAAATTCACTGAGAGGGTATGTATCAAACTCAAATTACCTACCCCTTCGACACCTTCCACCGACATCAGATGCTGCCAGATTGCCCAGCCAACGAGTCTGACTCCAAGTGCAGACCTGGCTAGGCAACAATATGGATGCGACAGAATGGGGCTGGACGCTTCACAAGAGCAACAAGGGCACTATATTGAAACCAATCACAAGGCACCAAGCTGTCACTCCTAAATTTCTGTTGAAAATAATCAGATACAATTGCACTGGAAAGTGTGATGAAAACACATGCTCATGCAGAATTTTTTTGTCTACAATGTACCTCAGCATGTGGACAACGCAAAGGGATGACATGTTCAAATGAACCAAGTCATGACGTTTCTGACATTACTGAATAATCGTCTCTTCATGTCCAGTATATGAGTGTGAATATATAGACTGTCTTGAACTTTAGACATTTAAATTGATAGTAAGTTTGACTTGTAAATTGTAGTATTGCAGGGTTATTCCCTCTTTATAAGCCTGTGTTAAGTATTTTGTAGTCCGATATGGAACAATTGCATTTTTTTCACATTTCGGGCAGCCGTAATTTATTTCTGTATAAGATTTCACTTCAAAATTGTTAAATATATATTCCCCTGTCTTGATCCTATGAAGTTGATTATAAATAGAGTCATCATCCATGTTTAGATTTTGATTGATTCTTTTTTTTTTACTTTTTCGATTTTCGTTAGTATTGATGGCGGCCATCTTGGATTTGACCTATTTTGGGTGTTTCCCCAAATCAAATTTTGGTAAACTATTTTTTTTTTTAAAGTAGACCTATCAAGGTAGTGAAATGTGTTAAAAAACCTTTTCCGTCAATTTTGTTGAACCTTCATGAAAAATAAACCTTTAATTACCGGACTAGTACTACAGTCAATACATGACCCTACATCTCGGGCGAGAAAAAAACACCTTCAAAATAAATCCTATTTAGACTGTTGTGGTCGGTAAACTGACCCTCGTATTATCCTGAGATTTTAAAAAATATTTCCTGTGGGTTTGTTTCTGAAAAGTTGATATCGCTATCCTCCCAGATAATTTCCCAATGCACATACTTGTCATTATTTTATTACCACAACCTGAAGTAATAACAGACCTCTAACCTGTTCACTTCATGTTTCGACGGTAGCAAGTTGACTTGGTGTGCGCATGCGGTAGATTTCTTTTGTCTGTTTCTGCAATATATTTGAACAATATTATGAAGATATGGTGTCGTTTTCGCCAGGTCGAGGTGCTGCTTTGACATGGTGCCGTTTTAGCTCTAAGCCTGTCACATAATCGCTACACAACTACAAGTGTCAAACAGCCTACATGTTTGTGGCTTAATGCCAAACATGGCAATATACCAGCTGTATGATCATGAAACAGGAGCAGACAAACAAGTGATTGATATGGTTGCCAGCGATTCGCCCATTGGGGTAGATGACATGCAATTAACAGTAATATATTTTTTTTAATCAAATAATCCAAAATGTATATCTGACCCGAAATTCGTATTCAGATTAAATCCAGCCTCTGACTTTGAGTAAGAACTGACAGCCATGTCTTGAGCATAAAATGATAACCTTTGAAATGTCATCTCAGCGTTAGAAATTGGCACTAGTCCTGTAGTCCTTCCCAAACTGCCCAATAGTTAAGGTATCATAAGCATGATAAGGACTAGTAGAAATTTGCAATTTTTATGGGTTTGCTATATGTTATCATTATAAGGACAAGTGGACTAAATATGTTAGTTTCTACCACTGCATCTGGATCAGCTGTTGGTGTTTGATGCCCATCCTTTCGTGACCTTAACGAAGTCACAAGCCTGACCACCCATTCCATTATTTTGCAACTTACAACATCTTATTATGCAGGTTGGTGTGGACCTAGTCTAACACGAAATCTGCAGGTATTATGATATACTGGTAGTTGTCTCAACTTCCTTCATGTGCAAAACCTACAATGGAATAATGTATTTATCATGTTCATGTTGCCATGGTTTCAGTAAGTATATTTGATAGTAATATTTCTGAATTTGTTGATGTGCAGTTTGAGGTTTCGATTGAAACAAAATATCCACAATTTCACAGCCAAACTGTGATTTACTCTCCTGGGCTCCATTGTACAAAATAACCTTAACGCTGCGACTGTCTTGGGTCTATGTTAACAATCGTTAAGGAATGGGAGTTACGATCACCTTAGCACAATGACTGTGACAAGTCTATGTTAAGGAATGGAAGTTACAATCACCTTAGCACAACGTCTGTCACAAGTCTATATTAAGGAATGGAAGTTACGATCACCTTAGCACAACGTCTGTCACAAGTCTATATTAAGGAATGGAAGTTACGATCACCTTAACACAACGTCTGTCACAAGTCTATATTAAGGAATGGAAGTTACGATCACCTTAACACAACGTCTGTCACAAGTCTATATTAAGGAGTGGAAGTTACGATCACCTTAGCACAACGACTATCACAGGTTAGCGACTTAGCGCTAAGGTGGCTTTGCACAACAGCACCCTGATTTCCAGTTTTGATCTTAGGCAAAATTGATTCAACTTATTGAAAAAAACACTTTATCCATGTTGACTGTTAACCACAGTTGTGTTACCAATGTATGACAGGGGAACAGTATATGATTACTCTTGATTAAACAGAAAATCCACAGTTTCACCTACATCACTCATGACATGTACAAAGTCAGAGGCTGGAAATGGGTTCCAGACTGTGGAACACTATCTCTATTTAGAAAATATGTCCATCCATTTCTAAACAAACATGAAAATAAAAGTATCTTAGCCCTAAATAATATTTTTAATTTGAAGTTTAAATGAAATACAGATTTTCCTTTGGGTGAGAGGCCAGTCACATGACTGCAAAACTGACATTCATAAACATATGCAGGACATTAACATGATGAACGACACAAGTTGACGTTCGTGTTCATCCGTTTCTCATCAGACCGAAAACAAGCTCTGACACCCATACTCCAGTGAACTTACACAAATTTAAAAACATGTTATATCTGTCTGCCTGTATGATGTGCTTGAAACCGTGTGATCTGTTTTCAGTCATCAGGACTTGTCCTGGCGGGCCTCGGCCTTGCGGCTGTTGGATTTGGAGGTAAGTTTGTTTTGTTTGTTTCTTGTTAAATGCCGCACTTAGCAATATTCCAGCTGTAAATAACAAGTCTGAACCAGATAATCCAGTGATTGACATAATGAGTTTCAATCTACGTAATTGAGATACCATGACATCAACCAAGTCAGCAAGTCTGACCACCCGATCCTGTTAGTCACCTCTAACAACAAGCATTGTCACCTTTTACGGCAAGTATGAGTTTGCTGAAGACCTAGTCTACCCTGCATCTTCAGTTTTTCTGGCTAACTGTTGATACTGGTGTTAAGAAACTTGAATTAAATTTTCAACAATTTTCATTGTTAAATAGTTCGAGTTCGGTCCAAATCAATGTTTCTGAAATTGGCCACACCAGAAGGGAAGTAACTGCTCAACACCATGATGATGACACAGTCTACGCTACACGCATTTATTCCTTTAGGATATGCAGAGATGCCAACCATTACACTTTTGAGCCTAAAATTACGCTTGTCCTCTCTAAATAACAAATTTGACATTTTGTCACAAATTATTCACAAGCATATAAATATCCCGGAGATCAAATTGTTAATGCACTGGTAACGTACCGCATTCAACAGGAGCCAATTACATGTACACCGATAGTTCTTCAGAACTCGAAACAGCATGTTGTCTTTCTGCAATACATTTAATATTGTATTCACATGATGAATTTTATGAATGTGTGGAGTTGTTACCACATGTTTTGACAAGAATGCTGTATTACTAGACACCTCCCGCAAGTGTTTTTTCGGTGTCCTTTTTGTCGTTTCTCTAAAATGACGGGGTTTGGGGGTTTATTATAACCATGCTAATAGTGGTATATGGGCTATCGCTATCAGTGGTATCTGAGCTAACCTTGCCAATAGTGGTATATGGGCTATCAGTGGTATATGAGCTAACCTTGCCAATAGTGGTATATGGGCTATCAGTGGTATATGAGCTAACCATGTTAATTATTCTGATATGGGCTATCAGTTGTATATGAGCTAACCATGCTAATAGTGGTATATGGGCTATAAGTGGTATATGGGCTAACCATGTTAATAGTGGTATATGGGCTATCAGTGGCATATGAGCTAACCATGCTAATAGTGGTATATGGGGCCTTTGTTATGGGCTATCAGTGGTTTATGAGCTAACCATGCTAATAGTGGTATATGAGCTAAGCATGCTAACAGTGGTATTTGGGCTATCAGTGGTATATGAGCTAACCATGCTAATAGTGGTATATGAGCTAAGCATGCACCATGATGCACACAGTGGTATATGGGCTATCAGTGGTATATGAGCTAACCATGTTAATAGTGGTATATGAGCTAAGCATGCTAATAGTGGTATATGGGGCCTTTGTTATGGGCTATCAGTGGTTTATGAGCTAACCATGCTAATAGTGGTATATGAGCTAAGCATGCTAACAGTGGTATTTGGGCTATCAGTGGTATATGAGCTAACCATGCTAATAGTGGTATATGAGCTAAGCATGCACCATGATGCACACAGTGGTATATGGGCTATCAGTGGTATATAAGCTAACCATGTTAATAGTGGTATATGGGCTATCAGTGGTATATGAGCTAACCATGCTAATAGTGGTATGTGGGCTATAAACGGTATATGGGCTAACCATGCTAATAGTGGTATATGGGCTATCAGTGGCATATGAGCTAACCATGCTAATAGTGGTATATGAGCTAAGCATGCTAACAGTGGTATATGGGCTATCAGTGGTATATGAGCTAACCATGCTAATAGTGGTATATGGGCTATAAGTGATATATGGGCTAACCATGCTAATAGTGGTATATGGGCTATCAGTGGTATATGAGCTAAGCATGCTAACAGTGGTATTTGGGCTATCAGTGGTAAATGAGCTAACCATGCACATAGTGGTTTATTGGCTATCAGTGGTATATGAGCTAACCATGCTAACAGTGGTATGTGGGATATCAGTGGTATATATGAGCTAACCATGCTAATAGTGGTATGTTGGCTATCAGTGGTAAATGAGCTAACGACGCTAATAGTGGTATGTGGGCTATCAGTGGTATATGAGCTAACCATGCTAATAGTGGTATGTGGGATATCAGTGGTATATATGAGCTAACCATGCTAATAGTGGTATATCAGTTGTCTTCTGTCTTTTTCCAGGTCGCTATCTCGCACGTTACGGACGGGTTGCTCAACAAACACTCAAGAAACAGCTGGATGCCCTTCCTCAGACAAGTGTAAGTTAGTGTTCTCTGTAATTTGGGAGTGGTTCAATGAATCCATCAAGAAATGGTCAGATTGCGTTGACACAACACATTGTGATACTCTGGACCATCTTTGTGTAAACTTTCCCATGAATTCATGAAGTAGATTTTAAATTTATCTGTTTAACTTGGTATTGATCATATTAATCATATTCATCCATATAATCTGTATATCTTTCTTTCTCTCAAGCCACCTGTTTCATGCACACTGATCTCATGCCCTTGTCTTTCTCTCTGTCATCATGGTCAGGACCTTTCTTTGATACTCCTTTCTGACTCATTCTTTCCCTCAGTCAAAATCTCATCTCTCATGCCCTTGTCTCTCTCTCTCTCATTCCCTCGTCTCTCTCATGCCCTTGTCTCTCTCTCTCTCATTCCCTCGTCTCTCATGCCCTTGTCTCTCTCTCTCTCTCTCATGCCCTTGTCTCTCTCACTCTCTCATTCCCTCGTCTCTCTCATGCCCTTGTCTCTCTCTCATTCCCTCGTCTCTCTCATGCCCTTGTCTCTCTCTCTCTCTCATTCCCTCGTCTCTCTCATGCCCTTGTCTCTCTCTCTCTCATTCCCTCGTCTCTCTCATGCCCTTGTCTCTCTCTCTCTCATTCCCTCGTCTCTCTCATGCCCTTGTCTCTCTCTCTCTCATTCCCTCGTCTCTCTCATGCCGTTGTCTCTCTCACTCTCTCATTCCATCGTCTCTCTCATGCCCTTGTCTCTCTCTCTCTCATTCCCTCGTCTCTCTCATGCCCTTGTCTCTCTCTCTCTCATTCCCTCGTCTCTCTCATGCCCTTGTCTCTCTCACTCTCTCATTCCGTCTCTCATGCCCTAGTCTCTCTCTCTCTCATTCCCTCGTCTCTCTCATGCCCTTGTCTCTCTCTCTCTCATTCCCTCGTCTCTCTCATGCCCTTGTCTCTCTCATGCCCTTGTCTCTCTCTCTCTCATTCCCTCGTCTCTCTCATGCCCTTGTCTCTCTCTCTCTCATTCCCTCGTCTCTCTCATTCCCTCGTCTCTCTCATGCCCTTGTCTCCCTCATTCCCTCGTCTCTCTCATGCCCTTGTCTCTCTCACTCTCTCATTCCCTCGTCTCTCTCATGCCCTTGTCTCTCTCACTCTCTCATTCCCTCGTCTCTCTCATGCCCTTGTCTCTCTCTCTCTCATTCCCTCGTCTCATTCCCTCGTCTCTCTCATGCCCTTGTCTCCCTCATTCCCTCGTCTCTCTCATGCCCTTGTCTCTCTCACTCTCTCATTCCCTCGTCTCTCTCATGCCCTTGTCTCTCTCACTCTCTCATTCCCTCGTCTCTCTCATGCCCTTGTCTCTCTCACTCTCTCATTCCCTCGTCTCTCTCATGCCCTTGTCTCTCTCACTCTCTCATTCCCTCATCTCTCTCATGCCCTTGTCTCTCTCACTCTCTCATTCCCTCGTCTCTCTCATGCCCTTGTCTCTCTCTCTCTCATTCCCTCATCTCTCTCATGCCCTTGTCTCTCTCACTCCCTCATCTCTCTCATTCCCTCATCTCTCTCTCATGCCCTTGTCTCTCTCATTCCCTTGTCTCTCTCAGGACCTTTCTTTGATGCTCCTTTCTCACTCATTCTTTCCCTCAGTCACACTCTCATCTCTCTCTCATGACCTCGTCTCTCTCTCTCACTCCCTCATCTCTCTCTCATGCCCTTGTCTCTCTCATGCCCTCATCTATCTCATTCCCTTGTCTCTCTCAGGACCTTTCTTTGATATTCCTTTCTCACTCATTCTTTCTCTCAGTCACACTCTCATCTCTCTCTCATGACCTCTGCTCTGTCATGACCTCTCTTTGATACTTGGGGCACGGGTGGCCCAGTCATCTAAGGCGCCGCGATTTGCTGTGCAGAGTTGCGTCCCTTGGGCATGCCAGAAACCTATAATTGTGAGTTCGAATCCCGGTTCGCCCCGATTATGTTTCTAGGTTTGTCAGCACCATACCCGTGCTCGTGGGTTTCACCGATGTGGTAAACGTCTGAGACCTTCATCACTTTGGGCTTTCCTCCCACATTAAGCTGACACGCCGCGATATAACTGAAATACTGTTAAAAGCGGCGTTAAACCAAAACTCACTCACTCACTCACTCTTTGATACTTCTTTCTCACTCATTCTTTCTGTCAGTCACAATCTCATCTCTCATGACCTTGTCTCTCTCATGACCTCTCTTTGATACTCCTTTCTATCTGTTTTACCCAGTCTATCAGTCTAGTTTGAGGTCAGTATGGAATCAATGAATCTCTTCTTGAAACAGTACCAAGAACAGAACAAAATTCAGATATACAAAACATATGAAGTCCAGTGTGCTGCTGTACATTAGTTACTGTGTTTGCAATGATGCTCTCACTGTCGACCATTTGTTTAAGTTGTTTCCTGTTCCATGTCTGATACAGCTGTTATGTTGCTGACTACGGGCTAAAATCTGCATCACCAACACAAACACATGTATTCCAATTGAAGAGTTTGAATACTGTGGAGTAATATACAATTGATTTTTTTATATATCATTATAAAATCATACCTGTTTAATTAACTGAGACTGTTGGAGACCCATAAAAATCCGGGGTAGAATAGGTCTTCAGCAACCCATGCTTGCCGTAAAAGGCGACTATGCTTGTGGTAAGAGGCGACTAACAGAATTGGGTGGTCAGGCTTGCTGACTTGGTTGATGCATGTCATCGTATCCCATTTGTGTGGATCGATGCTCATGTTGTCAATCACAGGATTGTCTGGCCCAGACTCGATTATTCACAGACCGTCGTCATATAGCTGGAATATTGCTAAGTGCGGTGTTAAACAAAGGAACGAATGAACGAATGTGATTGTTTGAAGGTGATTTGACACTGTTTGTATTCCCAGGCTTTCAGCAAGTACTACAAGGGAGGCTTTGACCCAAAGATGTCCAAGAGAGAGGCAGGACTGGTGCTGGGGGTCAGGTAAAACACCATCATTTGTGTTTTTGTTTAACCATGGTAACTGCATCAACCACATCACTGTTGCTTGGGGACCCTGGTTATGTCGTTATTGATGTAGCTAGAGGCACAGGCCGGCCGGTACCAACACCACTGGGCGTGTGTTCTTCCAAACTGGAAATTATGGCGATTGGGATGGTGAAGTCAAATGGCTGATGTTATATCTTTCTGGTGGAAAGGATTGGGGCATATATGGTTATATGACTTCATTATTAATGTAGCTAGAGGCACAGGCCGGCCGGTACCAACACCACTGGGCGTGTGTTCTTCCAAACTGGAAGTGATGGTGATTGGGATGGTGAAGTCAAATGGCTGATGATATATCTTTCTGGTAGAAAGGATTGGGGCATTATGGGGCTCGTTCTGTTTTAGCCATCTTCCCGAGGCAAGAGAGTTAACTGACTTTTCACTTGTTGATAAACTTGATATGAAAAGACACTCGGGTAAGATTCTCTATATAATAACTTCGAAATATTATGCCTCTGTGTGGTTAAAAGTATGTTTGTCACATCAGGAAAAAATTGTGTTGTCAGTCTCACTGATATGTACACGAGACTTTTTTCTACCCAAAAAGCAGCATTACGCAAAAAAAACATCCTTAGCACACTGAACATGACCTTTTTGTCACTTTCAGCCCAGCTGCAAGCAAGGCTAAAATCAAGGAAGCACACAAGAGAATCATGCTGTTGAATCATCCTGACAGAGGTATGGGGAAGAAATTTAGATTCAAACACGTATCAGCTATTCTGTATATTGTGAAGGTTATTTCAATTTCAAGGGACCTCCTTCCTGGTCTAGTGGACAGAGTGGAAGGATCGATCCCGACTGCATTATGCCAAAAGATGTTAAAAGATGGTGCTTATTGTCACCCTGCCTGGTGCTTGGTATTAATACTGTTTGGTTCTGAATCAGTATGCTGTGTCTGAGTGGGGTAGTCATGTTAAATTGTGTCATGGTATCTCTGTGTGTGGTGTTAAACAGCAACAAACAAACAAAATGGATGTATATATAAAGTACACTGGTTAATCAGCAGTAGAAACTAACATTTTTAGCCCACTAGTCCTTATAATGGTAAAATATAGCAAAACCTGTAAAAGTGGCAAATTTCTACTAGTACTTTATACTAACATCTAGTCTCTGAAATGAACATAATTTACAGAAAAAAAACCAGTTGTTAAATTATAGTTATAAAATATAATAAAAAGGAGCCCAGAGACTTTCTTCCTGATACTGCAGTAGTCTAGACTTGCCAAAGATTATAGACTTGCATGGGCTGTATTGGATATATATTTTTTACAGAGTCTGAATGACAGTCTAATAGTCCTTAGGATACCTCAACTACTGGTCAGTTTGACAAGGACTATATGACTAGTGTCAATTTTCTGATTTGTTTCATGTAAAACTTGCATCATTTTCCTTGATTTAACATAGTCATTGTGTTCTTCAGGTGGTTCCCCCTTCCTGGCAGCTAAGATAAACGAAGCCAAGGATTACCTGGACAACGCCCGGCCGGGGAGTTCCTGATTTCGACCTCACTGTGTGCATGATGTGTGACTGTTAGAGGGGCCCCAAGGAGACAAGGACATCACTCCCAGAAATGCTAGTGTGATCAGTATATTGTATATAGCAGGATTTGTCAATAAAGCAAACATACTTAGTTGATGGTTGTTATCATTTTGATAAGTGAGCAAGTATGTATGGTGAGGTGGTGACTGTATGAAGATTGCATGTTGGGTTCATATTGTTTAAGTCGGATGAATCCCATCATCAACTTTTGTCCATGTCATGACTTCCTGGACCAACCCATGCTTGTCTTAAGAGGCGACTAACAGGATTGGGTTGTCAGACTCGCTGACTTGGTTAATTCACGTCATTGTATCACGATCGTGTAGATCTATGCTCATGATCCAATCACTGGATTGTCTGATCCAGATTTGATTATTTACAAATCGCTGCTGCATTGCTGGAATATTGCTGAGTGCGGCATTATGCAACAAATAAACAAACAACTTCTTGTTCAGTTAATGTAATCTTACGACATTGTACAGAGTTACTTCCCATTGCAGTGTTGGCCTTTTCTCTCACTGTAACTGATACTGTATTTTTGACATGAGTTGTATGGGAACACCATGGTGGGGGACACCATTTCTCAGATCTGGGAGTCGGGGCAGGTCCCCAGTACCCTCTGCTTGCAAGAGCTTTCCAAAATGAGCGAGTTGCATTTTCTCTTCACATCAGCAGTTTTTCAGACATACACTCAAGTGAAACATTAAAGTTCACAAAATGGCTGGCGTATAAGCTGCATTGAATATCATGGGAGCTAAACCAAAGTGAAAAACAAAAGCGTTCACCTGTTATGCCGAAGACCCGGGTTTGATTCCCAACATGGGTACAATGTATGAAGCCCATTTCTGGTGTCTGGCGTAAAACCATACTCACTCACTCCTTTCTCTTTTGTAACCTGACATACAATGATTTTATGTACTCTTGAGTGAAATCCAGTGGTCCTGTTTTGTTTAGATTTCATGTAACTGCCATTGCAGTGTACTTTTCAGTGTTCTGGAGTGAGTGAGTCGGTATGGTTTTACGCCGCTTTTAGCAATATTCCAGCAATATCACCGCGAGGGACACCAGAAATGGGCTTCACACATTGTACCGATGTCGGGAATTGAACCCGGGTCTTCTGCTTGACGAGTGAAGGCTTTAACCACTAGGCTACCCGACCGCCCCTCAGTGTTCTGGACACATTTCCAGTGATATTACAGCCTGGTGGTCAGTTCTTTGTGTGAATGTCATTTATTTGTTTCCACTGGGTCCTGATAGGCACTGGGAAATGTGCCTCTTGAAAAATATATCCTCGGTCTGCTAAAAATTTGGCAATAACTGGCCATAAATTGGCATCTAACATATTTATATACTTTGCAGAGTTTGTGTGACCATCCTCAACAACAAGGATACTTACACCTTCCATATGGTAAGAATTGGTCTTTAGCGACCCATGCTTGCCGTAAGAGGCGATTAACGGGATCGGGTCAGACTCGTTGACTTGGTTCATGCATGTCATCTTATCTCACTTGTGTAGATCGATGCTCATGTCTGCCTCATGACGTCACTCACTTGGCTGTCTGGTCCAGACTCGATTATTTACAGACCGCCATCGAAAAGCTGGAATATGTTGAATGAGACGTTAAACAACAAACAAATCAAAACAAATGCAGCACCAAAACATGACACTCAGTCCCAGACATCGAATTCTTCATTAATTCATTGCGTGTCATCGTACTCCTACGGCGTGATTACAACGTCGATCACTGGATTGTCTGGTCCAGACTCGATTATGTACAGGCCGCCGCCATACAGCTTGAATATTGCTGAGTGTGTCGTCAAACGACAAACAATCAGTCAGCAATCAATAAAGTCTCAACGGAAGGCCAACATCACCTAACAATCTATCTGTAAACGACTTTTAGCCTTTACATCAATAATAGATACAAGCGACAAAACCCTTTCCATATGTATAAGAATTCTCTGCTAAAAGCAGATGTACGATTCCGACCATGTCATGATCATATGTTCATGAATCACTATCAAATAGTAATGATACCAGATGTTCGTAAAAAGGTGATAGAATCCTGCCCCACCGGTAGCACCCGTAACAAACACACGCAAAGGCAAGTTAATTGTTCACCTGGAAAGACACGGGAACGGACATCCATATGAAGCTATACTCTTACGTGATGAACGTTTACTGCATGAAGACAGTGACTTTGATCGATCATCCCAGCACTGGTGTCTCAGGGATTTACCGAAGCCTGTGTAATTACGAGTCCTAGGGACTTTGAATTTAGGGGGTCCCGGGAATATATTCGGATACCAGCTAAGTGACCACTGTACCAACAGCACAACAATATACAAATTATGTGTGAGGCCTTTTGCTTCTTTCAGAAAGGGATTTTCTTGTTTGAAACGGAATTTAATGACTGAGTAAAGAAATCTGACATGAATTGTTTGGTAGGCATCACTTAGAAGTTGACGGATGACAAGGTAGACACTGTGCTTTTCACAGTAATAAAGAAGTTGTTATCCATAAAATTGTGTCTACCTTTAAATCTGACATTGAATGTCCGAACTTTGATACAGAAATATCATCCAAATTTATTTATTGTTTCCATTTGATCATCCCAGCATCCATATCCCTGTGTGTCCAATGGATACTATTTGCGTCCATTCATAATTGCCATGCGTACAGGGCGCAATATTTTGCCCCCGGTAAAACCCTGGTGTCTCTACAAATTTGGATACCAGAATTCTAATCCGATTCTAAACATCGTTGCCATGTAAACCATACAGAACATGACATTATTTACTATTTCATAATTACGATTTTTTATTACTTATTATTTAATGCATCATCATGACATCAGAGTTTTTTCACATAATACCACTGTGGGTGTCTCTGGAATATGCATGTTGTTTTGTTGTATTGACATTTCTGTTAGTAGGTTTGGCATTTTCGTGGTAATATTGTTTATAAATAGTTTTATTATTTTGAAAATATTCCAGACTTAACAGGTGAGCTACAGAACTTTGTGCATGTCGCAGTATATTTGCATATATCATTATAAAACTGATTATTAATCCTAGCTCCTTTCCGTAACTCCAGCTTGTTTCCCCTTTTCGCGATATCTTCTGAGCGAGTTTGGTTTTATGCCGCTTTTAGCAATATTTCAGCAATATAACGGCGCCCGACAGCAGAAATGGGCTTCACACATTATACCCATCTGGGTTTGTTTGTTTGTTTGTTTGTTTGTTGTTTAACGCTGTACTCAGCAATATTCAGGTCGACTAACGGACAACATGGTATATGTAAGTTAGGTGAGGGAGTTGGTTTTAACGCCGCTTGAACAGTATTACGGTCATATCACGGCGTGTCAGCTCAGTGGGGGATAAAACCCAAAGTGATACAGGTCTCATACATTTACCACATTGGCTCTGAGAAACATCGAAACATAATCGCTACGATCATAGATTTCTGGCATGACTAAGGAACGCTGCACAGCTAATTGCGGCGCCTTAGATGACTGGGTCATCCATGCCCCTGTATGTGCAAAGAGCACTTATACTAATTGGTTGGTTGGTTTGTTGTTTAACGCCGCGCTCAGCTATATGACGGCGGTCTGTAAATAATCGAGTCTGGATCAGACAATCCAGTGACTGACATCATAGGCATCGATCCACTCAATTGGGATACGATTACATGCATCGACCAAGCCAGCGAGCCTGACAACCCGATCCTCCCGTTAGTCGCCTTTTACGACAAGCACAGTTGCGCCCTCCCCCCCCCCCCCCCCCCCCCCCCCCCCCAGCCCCTGCCCAACACACACACACACACACACACACACACACACACACACACACACACACACACACACACACACACATTATCTTCTGAACCATTGGATACTTGACACTGAACTGGAATGTAGTGATGAACCCAGCAATTTGTTCTCTTTAGAATTGGCACACAATTTATACATTCTAACGGACCGACTATATGAATTTCGTTGATGGGTATCGTTGATATCTCATCTTAAAAATCAATACATTTCCTCTTTTCGGCATAAATTAATAACATTTCAGACATGTTAGGGGTCATGTGGTTGCAAGTTCATTTCCTACACTAGTCTTCATCGAACCAATAAAAAATTTTCCACATAATTATCCAGCCACAGATAGTATTTTTTTCACAAAGTGTTTAAGGAATGAGTGATGGTTAAATCAAATTAAACAAAAGTTCTTTCAATAAGTTTCCATTACATAAAAAACAAACTCGGTATACTCTCCTTTGACCCTCAGTAAATACGTTTCTGTTCGTATGGTACTTTATACATATAGTTCATAATTCTTTGATAATTTCTTTTTCATAATCATCATTATGATTAAAATACATTAAAATGTGAAGGCGCTTGGCAACTCATGGTCGTCCATCCACTGTATTACATCTCCATTCTGTTATGATGAATACCGCTATAAATAACCAATGCCATTTATTATTACAAAATCACTTGCGAAATTTGGAACAGAATCCAAGCCATATTACGGAGAGGGGCGTCAAAATCGGTTCAGCATGGTGTACCCATGTGGTGAATTGGTGTGACGCTTTAACCTCGCTGGACAAACCCCGCCAATGGCTTTGTCGGTTAAGATTATTTACACAAACAAATGTCAAATCAGGTTAGAAGTGTTGTATATTTCATGCAGGTGTTCACCAGAATAGTCACGTGATGTCATGGTCACGAGTTCAGCCAATCGGGAAACACTTCCGTTGCACTCCATGGATCGAAGCAGACGACGCTTACTTTGTCAAATGCACCGGTGCTTGTTAAATTAATTTCAAAAAGCTGTTTAGAATTCATTTAAAATCGAGATTACAATGGGCTTAGACCCCTATTTCTCATGTTTATATTATCCACGCGCTACTTTGAACGCTGCGTTTAAAACTTTGGTATGTCATGTGCATTAAGAAAACTTTTCACGAAGACAATTTTTCATCGCGATTTCCTGCCCTGACGTATGCTTTCACTCTGGAGAGACGTTGAACAAAACGACATGGTAAGTGCAGCAATATATAATTAAACAATCTGTTGGTGAACATAT